CTTTGTTCTCCAGAAAACATGCACTTTATTTTTATAAAATACATTTTGTGAAATTCAAGGCCCAATGGTTCACAGTGCACTTTTTGTATAGACAGTTATGCAACCACTTTTGTTCTTCAGCAATGTTGATGCAATGTTGCACATGTTTACATTCAAAATAAGTTGTAATTAATTCAAATTCTTAGTCTCATGTAATGTATTTAATGTACATTTTATATAACAACATGTTTCCTAAGTCATAGACGACTATGTTTGTTACTAAGCTGTACCACAGCGCCGATAAAGGACGATGTCCATCCGGACCTTTGCCACCTAGGAAATTTGTGTCACTGGACCTTCTCAAATAGTAGTTGAGTCAGTAATATTTCAACTAACTATCTACTAACCCTAGCCAAACCAGACACGCGCAGGACACGCAGGTTGAACTCTGAACCAAATATATTAACTTGGGGACAGGTCGAAAAGCATTAAACATTTATGGCAATTTAGCTAGCTAGCTTGCTGTTGCTAGCTAATTTGTCCTGGGATATAAACATTGGGTTGTTATTTTACCTGAAATGCACAAGGTCCTCTAATCCAACAATTCATCCACAGATAAAACGGTAAACCAAGTTCAGGCTTCCTTCAGGCTTCTTCTTCTTCTTTGGACTTTATATGTCGGTTGGCAACCAACTTTAAGATGCATTACCACCACCAACTGGACTGGAGTGTGGACCTCAGTTCATCTTTCAATCACTCACGTGGGTATATGCTCCTAAAAACCAATGAAAAGATGGGAGAGGTGGGACTTGCAGCGCGTCGAGCGTCACAAATAGAACCAAGTTCTATTTTAGCGCCTGGCCACGCAGACGCTCGCTGACGTGCGCGAGCAGTGCGGGTGCAATGATTGAATAACATGTATGTGTACATTTATTTTGCAACGCCTGGTCTGGTCAGCATGTAACCCTCACCTTTACCTCAGCAAGCAGTTGCTTATCAACAGATAGTTTGTTGATAGTATGATCATCTATAGATATATAATGTGTGACCATTTTCTCTTCCATTTGTGTTCACAGAGCGAGGATGTGTAGGGCCCGGGGAGTAAATGCAATAGCCTATCTCTAAAACAGCGGAAATAGCCTACTGTCAGATTTTATTTCGCTGTTTGCACGGTCACTAACCGCGCATTCGCATTCTCTCAAGATGCTGAAATAAATAAATAATATTTCTCCAAATTAACATTTGTTGTATAATTTTACTGCAAGAAATACTATTATATTAGGCTACATGTGAGAGTTATAGGCCTACAGTCAGTGTCCATATTTCTGTTACTACATTAGGCTAAAACTTCTGTGTCCAAATATTAATTTTTTGTTCAGAGGAGAGGCTTCCGTACCCCCTGCACCCATACTTCTATAATCTCTGGGGGGACCCTTTAATGTGATGAGTCATTATGGATTAACTATGATAAAGGCCACCCAGGAGACACCGTGGCAGAACAGGGTCACCGAACTCCACCAGGTCTGAACTATCACTGTCTGACGGTCGCCATGTCAGGGGAATCACTAAATAAAGAGTTTAGTTTTACTTCAATTTGATATCGCTATGGCTGACACCACAGTAATTAGCCCTTTGCATGAATCAACTAGTTATAAATGAATGTATGTATATTCTTGTACAGGTAACTGCCAAAATAAAGGAAACACAAACATAGTGCCTTAATAGGGCGTTGGGCCACCACGAGCCGCCAGAACATCTTCAATGCACCTTAGCATAGATTCTACAAGTGTCTGGAACTCTATTGGAGGGATGTGACGGTGGTGTTTTGTTGATGGTGGTGGAAAACGCTGTCTCAGGTGCCACTCCAGAATCTTCCATATGTTCAATTGGGTTGAGATCTGGTGACACATACACACACACACACACACTTTAAACCTTTGAGACCCCTCTTTCAAAGTCACTGAGATCTTTTCATCTAGCCATGATAACCAAAATAATGGGTAACTGGGCATTTTTATATATGACCCTAAGCATAATGGTATGTTAATTGCTTAATTAACTCAGGAACCACACCTGTGTGGAAGCACCTGCTTTCAATATACTTTGTATCCCTCATTTACTCAAGTGTTTCCATTCAAGATTCCTATGAATCACTGGTTGTAATTTCCATTCTGCCTGCGCTCATTTTATAAACCAACTTGTCAGTTAGCCTGTAAACAGTCAGTGGAGATTTAGCTAACCACTGAGGATTGCGTTGGATATAAAGCGTATTTTGTTCTTCAGCACACGTGGTAGTTAGACCGATTACATGAACAAGAGGAGCCAGGGAGGAGGTCATTGCCAAAAAGCGTGTTGAAATATAGATCATAGAGCTACCTCTGCCTTAACGTCAACGGGTTATATCTGCCTCCCAGCTAATGTCTTCTACTTCAAACAAAACATCAAAACAGATCCTAAACCGTACATTTCTTCTCTTGACCTCTAGTTGAGGGAAGGCTACAAAAGACATCCTGGCTAAGAGTGCCAAACATTACTCATCCCATCTCTCTGTCGACTCAACACCTCGTTGTTACTCATCGTTGTGTTCCGTTCGATTGAAATGTGGATAACTGTCAGTTTTGAAAAAAATGGGATGCTAGGCTATCACCCTTTTTTTTGGCTCAGGGCGTCTCGGAGAGCAGTCGTGATGAGACTGAATGCACGATTGGCTATAGACGGCATCTGGAGATGGCTGGGTTGAGGGCTAAATGCGAGTGAGGGGCTGGTGGCGGGATGGTCTCCATTGGCCCGTGTCGCTCCAGCTGTCGCTCAGTGCCCCCAGGACTCTCCGCTCACACCTTGTCATCTCCTCCGTTACTCAGGGACAGCCGAGAGAGAGAGAGAGAAAGAGAGGGCAAAAGACAGGCAGAAAGAGAGAGAGATCGAGGGAAAGGCTGAGGGAGGAGAAGGGAGAGGGAGTCCATAGGCCTACACAGTCATTGGGAGACAGGGTTTGAAAGAGAGACAGAGGGTAAGAGAAAGAGTCAGTCTTTCTTGACCGAAAAGAAGACACAGTTTGCAGCCGTCTTTTGATATAGAATAGATATTCTCAGAATGGAGGAGATTAAGGGGAACTCGAAACCTGCCAAATGTGATTAACCAAAAGCCCCACCTATCATAAAACGTTGCCTTAGAAATAACGTATTGGATCAAACAGAGGTGCTATTATCAATACAATTTACAGTATTTCCTAATAGGTGAATAGGATTGTCTGGTTCGACAATACAGTAGTTAAAGTGTAGTAGTAATAGTGCTTGTTGTAGTGGAGTAGTAATATTACATGTTGTAGTGTAGTAGTAATAGCAGTTGTTATAGTGCAGTAGTAGTAGTAGTCTACTGGATCTGCCATTTCATACAGCGTGCAGAGTCTAACAATAGCATTAAGCACTTCATTTGGCCGTGTGGGAAAGCTCTGCATGTCCTTTGCTTTACACAGTGTGCTACAAAGGGATATGCCTCAATCACATTACAGACAAAAATCGAGAAACCAAGATTCAAGAGAAAAGGAGGTAATAAGAGAGGATGACATGAGAGATTTAATAGCCTATAATACAATTTATACCAAGACGGATCTGGAATGTAGAGAAGTCAGGTTGTTGGTCTGTGGGTCTCAGCAACTGTGCCCGTGTTACTGTACTGAAATTGCGTCTGTATCCACGCTGCTTTACACCTGTAATCCGGCTTTGTGTCTGGCACCTGGCTTTGTACCTGTCATCTGCAGGCATTTTGGTGGTAATCTATCTCAAATGCCTCTTATCTGCTTTTTCTCCCTGTAACCTGGCTGGAATGGATATAGTCGGGTCCAGAATTATTGGGCAATTTTTTTTTTTTAAGACTGTATAAAATAAATACTACAAATACTGAGCTATATTCTATGCACATTTTTAAAATATATAATATTTTAGACACACAATTGCTCAGAGAAATTGTTTAAATTTGTTTAACAAGTCTTATTTTTTTCTCTCACAAATATATGGGTCAAAATTATTTGCACCCCTGTTTTCAATACCTTTCAATACCTCACATTGTGAGGATAATGGCACTGAGCCTTTATCTAAAATGTTTTATGAGATTGGAGAACACATTGGATTGGATCTTAGACCATTCCTCCATACAGAATCTTTCCAGATCCTTGATATCCTTCATCTGCATTTGTGGAGTGCCCTCTTCAATTCAAACCACATATTTTTAATGGGTTTCAAGTCCGGAGACTGAGATGGCCATGGCAAAATATTGATTTTGTGGTCAATTATTTTTTTAAGTGTGTATTTATATGTGTGCTTGGGGGAAGATCCACTTGCGGCCAAGTTTCAGCCTCCTGGCAGAGGCAACCAGGTTTTGGGCTCAAAGTTCCTGGTGCTGGGTAAAGGTCATTTACATTTACATTTTAGTCATTTAGCAGACGCTCTTATCCAGAGCGACTTACAGTTAGTGAATACATATTTTTTTATACTGGCCCCCCGTGGGAATCGAACCCACAACCCTGGCGTTGCAAACGCCATGCTCTATCAACTGAGCTACATCCCTACCGGCCATTCCCTCCCCTACCCTGGACAACACCGGGCCAATTGAAATAAAGGCGCACACAGGCGTCAAACAAAAGACGCACTAACATGTGCGAAAACCTCTCCAAACAATGGAGGGAAGATACGTAGCTCAGAACACCAAACAGAGGAGCAATCACACACAACACCAGACACACACAACGAGAACTAAATAAGACACTAACAAGGACTAACTAGACACAGGTGTACAACATCAAGACAAAACCAAACGAACATGAAACATAGATCGGTGGCAGATAGTACTCCGGGGACGACGACCGCCGAAACCTGCCCGAACAAGGAGGAGGAGCAGCCTCGGCCGAAACCGTGACAAGAAAAATTTGCATTTTTATAGATTATCTCATTCTATTCTACACATTTTGCAATGAGTCTGAGAGAAAATGTTGCTAATTTCCAATTATTCTAAACATTTTTGCTATGGCTTATGTGGTGTTCATATACTATCTGGGAAAGGGGGGCAACCTCCAGGGGGTTTGGGGCACCGAGAGCCCGTGGGCCCCCACGCCTTGCGGGGGCTGCTTGGGTGTGTGGTATGTCAGTGTCAAAGATCCCTCCCAATGTGTTCTCCAACTCATAAAACATTTTAGAAAAAAATCATTTTGACCCCTACCTTTTTGTTAAACAAAATGTATTTCTCTGAGCAATTGTATTAGATAAAAATAATATTGTACTCATGTTTATCAAGGTTGTCAATAATTTCCGACACAACTGTAGTAGTTCAAGTTGTATGCATATGGATTACAGTAAGAGGGAGGCTGATTCATACAAACTCTATTTGAATTTGATAACTCTTTCTTGTCCATTACTGAACAAAATCCCCAAAGATTTGCATCGCCTCTTACCGACCGATTACAGTAGTTTTATAAATGTAGATGGCAAGATATGCCACAACATTCTGGTTTTAATTATCTTTTTGAGCAAAGTATAGAATGATGTTGATAGAAACCAATGATGGTTGAAGATGAGGCTATTGACGAATGTAAAATGTAAGTGTTAGGGATATAACACTTTATTCTCATTACTTCAGTATGTCAAACTGTAGCATACAAGAGCTTGTTACAATGATCTCGAATCACCACTAGCCGCAAATAAATCCCCCCCTTCTCTAAACCTCTCTTGCTCCCTCTCTCCCCACTTTTCATCCATTTCTCTCTCCTTCGTTCTCTGTTCCATCTATGTTAATCTACTGCTTTGTTTTGATGAATCTCTCTTTTATTACAAATCCCGGCCACCTCTTCCCCTCCGCTCTGTATAGCGTTACGCGAGGAGCTGTATGTCTACATTGAGTAGATTTCCATCAAACACTAGCCAGCCTGTAATGAATCTGAATTGACACATGTTGAATGAATTAATACAGGTAACAAAGCAAGAGGGAAATGTTTTCCTCTTGCTCAGCCTCTCAGAGGATATGCAATTTACTGAGGTAGCTCGTGTGAAATTGTAACATTTTAGTTTCTTTTCCCTATGGTACTTACAGTTCTTCTACCAACTGACAAGTCTGAACATTCAGAGGCTGCGTTTACACAGGCAGCCCAATTCCGTAGAAAAATAATGTAATAATTGGTCTTTTGACCATTACGAACAGGTTGGAAAAAGATCTGATGTGAAAAGATCTGATGTGATTGGTCAAAAGACCAATTAGTGGATAAAAAGATCAGAGTTATGCTGTCTGTGTAAACTCAACCATACTGGCACACATGGCGATATAAGCCTATAGAATGAAGTAATGGACATGCTATGCATACTAAGTAGTGAGTAAGTATGTTTACTGAGACGTGGTAGTTTTCAATTAAACCTGGCTGCCTGGCACATCAAACTGAAAACATTCCCTCTATTTATCTGTTGCACAGCTTTGTGAGGGCATGGCAAAGCTGGTGGCATAAGTTGCTGGCGGCAGAAGCTAGTGGCATATGGAGTGACTCGGTCGCTATAGGGACAACCCAGTGTTCCCTGTGTTTCTGCAGCAATGGAGGTAATTAAGAGGAAGTGTGTCCTAAGCGACTCCAGAGGAGTCATTCCCAGCTCCGCTAATTAACTCTCAATGTTAAACTTTAATGTAGAACAGCTTTCATAAAGCATGCAGCAATGAAAACAACAATGATGCTGCTACCTCACCGGGAGCCCACTGCTAGCTATGGGCTCCCTGCTTTTGCGAAAACTGTCTCAATCCCACTTCCTCTTACATCAACCAATTCCAAGAACTGTGTCCTCTGTCAAATCATGCAACTAGAAGGATTGAGAGAGATAAAGAGAGAGAGCGTTCTCTGTCACATACTGTAGGGAAAGGAAAAGGAAAGGGGGATATCTAGTCAGTTGTACAACTGAATGCATTCTCCCGAGTGGCGCAGTGGTCTAAGGCACTGCATCGCAGTGCTAGCTGTGCCACTAGAGATCCTGGTTCAAATCCAGGCTCTGTCGTAGCCGGCCGTGACTGGGAGACCCATGGGGCGGCGCACAATTGGCCCAGCGTCGTCCAGGGTAGGGGAGGGAATGGCTCAGTTGGTAGAGTATAGCGTTTGCTATGGCAGGGTTGTGGGTTAGATTCCCATGGGGGGCCTGTATGTAAAAAATAATGTATGCACTCACTAACTGTAAGTCACTCTGGATAAGAGCGTCTGCTAAATGACTAAAATGTAAAAATGTAAAAACTGAAATGGGTCTTCCGCATTTAACCCAACCCCTCTGAATCAGAGAGGTGCGGGGGGCTGCCTTAATCGACGTCCACGTCTTTGGCGCCCGGGGAACAGTGGATTAACCTCCTTGCTCACTGTAGAGTATAACTCCATAGAGCAAAATATCCTCTCATAGCTCGGGGGCCATTTTGTTTAATTTTAGCAGCACTCTGATTAACTCATATTTGACTTAGCATGGCTCTACTTTCTATAGGATCAGTGGATGGTGAAGGCCCTAGGGGTGTTAGACTGTCATTTGGCTCACTGCTGACAGTGAAAGACTGGCAGAGAGCCTACAGCTGCAGGGGGAGAAGGGATGCTGATATTGCGTGGTGTAGGTTAACCTAACATTTGATCCTAATTTTATAGGGGGGGTATTAATGCTTGAATTTGCAATTGCAAAACTGTGGTCAGCATTTTAATGCACCCCAAATAGTCTCTAGGAGCATCCAAATGACTAGATCAGTTAGTGTTCCCTTAATTGAATGTGTCTCTGCATGTTCTATCAGGCTTAGAGCCTACTTACTATGTGCATCCCTTGCAGTTAGCTATCTTTATTCTTTGGTCAAACCTCTGTTAAATGTACCTTAATTTGGCTCCTGAGTGGTGCAGCGTTCTAAGGCACTGCGTCTCAGTGCTAGATGCGTCACTACAGACCCTGGTTCGGTTCCAGGGTCCCGTAGGGTGGCACACTATTGGCCGAGCGTCATCTGGGGTGGCCGGGGTAGGCAGTCATTGTAAATAAGAATTTGTTCTTAACTGACTTGGTTAAATAATGGTTAAAAAATGTAATACAAATTGAATGTGTCTCTGTGTAAGGTATTTTCTTGTTATAGATTGTACTGTATATTTTTTTTTACCTGGCTTAGAATCTGTTTGATACGCACATCCCTTGTAGCTAGCTAGCTCTCTGTGTTCTTTAGCTCGTAGAATTGAGAACGTGCTCTCGGAACCAGTCAAGGTTGTGTAACAGTATGTTCAATCCTTAGAACCTTGTGTTACATGTGTAACCTTGGTCAAGTTGGACAGCAAATTAAGTACTTTTCTCAAACTTGACCAATTTGTATGGCTTTCTGTACTCTCTATATTCACATTTTATATTGCAGTTACCCTCCTACCAATATATAAAATATATCCACCCCCTCCTCTCCTTCCCATCTACCTTTCTCCCCCTCTCTCATTCTGTCTTTACTGACACTGTACTCTCACTCGTTCCCCGCTGGTGTGATGTTTCATGTGCTCATCTGCAGCTCAGCGCAGTCAGGCCACAGAGGTCAGCCCTCACCTTCACACTGTAGTAGCAGTGCCCTCTCCTCCGCCTATCCATCCCTCCCTCCCTTCTTCCCTCCCTTCCTCCATGTTTGTGATCGAGTGCTATGACAAGGATTGGAGTAGAGAAACACACCTACCACAAGAGTGAACCTGGAATGAACAGCTGAAGCAACATGGGAAAAAAGCACAGTGCATGCCTTTGATACATTTATTCATGAACTCTGTATATACAGTACAGCGTACAGTGCAGACATCTTTACATATACACAGCTGGTACCAATAGTTGAACAACCGTTTGTCGGAATGTGCAATGCATTAACAAAACAATTCAGTGTCCAGGTGGTTTTCCTTATCCATTTGTATCAGACAATGGACCACAGTTTACATGCATGAAATTCAAGAAGACACAGGGACATCAAAACCACAATTAGTGGAGTCAATGTAAACAATATAGCTAGTTGCCACCATTTACCGTCCACTACCCATTCCAAATCAATTTGGCTCACTCTGTCATTTCTGTTTGTGCCGCATGCGATGATGGTAGCCTACAGTGGCATGCTAGCTGTCGGAAGAAAGCACAGCGGAGGGGTGTGTACCTGTGTTGAACCCATCCCGCTGTTCGGAGGCAGAAATGTGTCATGTGTCTGGGGCTATATGAAAGGATTACCATGTCATTATAGCGTTTGAGTCAGCAAGACGGCTCCATAATGCTGGCAAAGCAAAACAAAACAGTCTTATCCCCCAGGAATATAATGCTAATATCCTATATTTATGGAAGGTATTAAGTCCCATTACCCAACAGACTAACAGTTGATCCGGATCTTTCCTTTGTAACATTAAGTATTTGTGGGGGCTGTCTTCCTCCACATCAGAGTAGCGTATGGCAACTTAAACTGTCTTTTACTTGAAAGATGGAGCGGAGCTAATGTTGACTCAAGCATTCGTTGAAATTGTAATTTCACCTTTTAAACATCTTCAAACTGGACCAAAAACACTTTCAAAGCAGCAGAAATAATGTGAGGTAGAATTTTATTAGGACCATATTGTTTAACACGGTAAAAAGCTATCAGATAAAATGGATATTTGCCATTTTATTTGTAGGAAAATAACAATTGTTTCTAATCCCCTCTTGGGCAATCTGCAGTTCAAACAATAACAAAGCAGACACCCCACCACTGTTTTGGTAAACAGCTGAGGGATGGGGCTGGAGAAATGTAACCACTCTCAAATTCATAGACAGAGCTGTGGGTGCAAGTACTCACCACCGATGAGATCAACATCATAGTTTTTACCATGTTCTGTAAAACAAGCATATATTTTGGGTTCTGATGGGTACAACAGTTGAACTAAGCTCATGAGGAGTTTAGAAGTTATATTCTTTAAGAATAAATTAGCACAAATGTGTAAAAACCTGTTTTTGCTTTGTCATTATGGTGTATTGTGTATAGATTGATGACGGAAAAAAACAATTTAATCAATTTTAGAATAAGGCTCTAACCTAACAAAATGTGGAAAAAGTCAAGGGGTCTGAATACTTTCCGAAGGCACTGTATAATTAATTTAAAACTAAAAAAAAAGTATGTAGCAATCTCAGATTGCCTCTTTAAGCTAATGCACCCAGAGGTGCAGTGTTTTGTAACAGCAGACTCGCTACATGACACCACTTACAGCCTACCGGAAGCTCCTAATTAATTAGGATCATTATTTTGTTTATTTCTACCAGGCTCCATTTCCCATTTGCTCCTACAGTCTGTACTGTGTCTATTCCTACTACATTTTCTGTCACTCAGTACAGCTCTCTCTCTCTCTCTCTCTCTCTCTCTCTCTCGCTCTCTCTCTCTCTCTCTCTCTTCCTATAATATCAACTCAATTCTTCTTTTTTATCTATTACTGCTCATCTCACACTATCTTGCGCTCCTCAGTCTCTTGCCTTGTCAGCCTGTCCTACTCAACTCTTTCAATTTAAATTACATTTGTCATTGGCAGGAAAGATAAACATTTAGCAGGGGTAACAAATCAGACAGTTGACAAAATAACTCACTGTCCAGAGTACAGATGAAGTTATGGGATGTGATGGAACTATATTCGATTTGTTTTACCCCTTGGCTACTTCCTGTGTTCAGTTATATTGGCCCTCCCTAAATCTCACTACTGTAGTTTAATCTACTTTGAAGATTTTGACTCATTTTGTCATGCCTCCTCAGCCAATTACATTATTTTCTATACCTAAAGCTCTCTCTCTCTTTTTCTTTCCCTTTTTTCTCTCTCTCTCTCTCTCTCTCTCTCTCTCTCTCTCTCTCTCTCTCTCTCTCTCTCTCTCTCTCTCTCTCTCTCTCTCTCTCTCTCTTTCTGTCTCTCTCATTGCTTCCCCTATTTCTTAATCGCTTTGTGCTCTAGAAGTTTTCCTTGAGTGACTAATTCTGGTACCCATGTGAGTTTCTATGTGAGTGTGAACTATGTGAATGTGTGCTGCCTCCTTACCTCTGAAATACATGAAGTCCTAGGGAGAAGCTCAATTGCATACTCCTTGCGTCCACTCTCCTCGCCTCCTTCTTAAAACCTATTGGAGAAGGTCAGAGGGGAGGGACCTCTGGCGTTCTCATCCAATGGGTTTTAAGAAGGAGGCGAGGAGCGAGGACGCGAGTTCGTATGCAATTGAGATTCTCCTCTAGTCAGGTGGGTATTATGTAATTTAGCTGTTTATTATGTCATGTATATTATGTGTGTTGTAATGAGTCCTCCCGTCCAGCAGGTGGTGGACCAGGCAGCCAGAAGACCATTCTCCATGAGGAGCAGTGGAAGATGCCGGCTCTGCCAGCGCTGCTGCTGTCGATTTACTTCCTCTTCCTTTTGCTGACCATGGCCCCGCTCTCTTTCACCCAGGCTCCCGCGCTCTCCTCCGTCAGAATGGGTGGGTTTCCACTAGTTACCACTAGTGTAAAAATTATAGAAAACTAAAATTAGCTATTTGGTCTCAATTTAAGGTTAGGGTTAGGGATATGGTTAGCAGTGTGGTTAGGGTTAGGTTTAAAATCACATTTCAAGAAGATCAATTGTTAAAAATAAGCACGGTTTATGACTTTGTGGCTGTGGTAACTAGTGATGACAGAATGGGTAATATGGGGATCCCACTGTCATGACCGACAAGAACAAATACTCCTCAGTGTCTTTACCCACTTTTAAAAAAATCATATGTCTTGCCGGTTTGATGAATAGGATTGTAGTTCACCATATGTACAATGAGAGTACAGTCGTGGTCAAAAGTTTTGAGAATAATAATAAAATAAATAATAATATGCCATTTAGCAGACGCTTTTATCCAAAGCGACTTACAGTCATGCGTGCATACATTTTTGTGTATGGGTGGTCCCGGGGATCGAACCCACTACCTTGGCGTTACAAGCGCCGTGCTCTACCAGTTGAGCTACAGAGGACCACAAGTATTGGTCTTCACAAAGTTGGCTGCTTCAGTGTTTTTAGATATTTTTGTCAGATGTTACTATGGTATACTGAAGTATAATTACAAGCATTCCATAAGTGTCAAAGGCTTTTATTGACAATTACATTAAGTTTATGTAAAGAGTCAATATTTGCAGTGTTGACCCTTCTTTTTCAAGACCTCTGCAATCCGCCCTGGCATGCTGTCAATTAACTTCTGGGCCACATCCTGACTGATGGCAGCTCATTCTTGCACAATCAATGCTTGGAGTTTTTCCACCCGCCTCTTGAGGATTGACCACAAGTTCTCAATGGGATTAAGTTCTGGGGAGTTTCCTGGCCATGGACCCAAAATGTCGATGTTTTGTTCCCCGAGCCACTTAGTTATCACTTTTGCATTATGGCAAGGTGCTCCATCATGCTGGAAAAGGCATTGTTCGTCACCAAACTGTTCTTGGATGGTTGGGAGAAGTTGTTCTTGGAGGATGTGTTGGTACCATTCTTTATTCATGGCTGTGTTCTTAGGCAAAATTGTGAGTGAGCCCACTCCCTTGGCTGAGAAGCAACCCCACACATGAATGGTCTCAGGATGCTTTACTGTTGGCATGACACAGGACTGATGGTAGCGCTCACCTTGTCTTCTCCGGACAAGCCTTTTTTCCGGATGCCCCAAACAATCGGAAAGGGGATTCATCAGAGAAAATTACTTTACCCCAGTCCTCAGCAGTCCAATCCCTGTACCATTTGCAGAATATCAGTCTGTCCCTGATGTTTTTCCTGGAGAGAAGTGGCTTCCTTGCTGCCCTTCTTGACACCAGGCCATCCTCCAAAAGGCTTCGCCTCACTGTGCGTGCAGATGCACTCACACCTGCCTGCATTCCTGAGCAAGCTCTGCACTGGTGGTGCCCCGATCCCGCAGCTGAATGAACTTTAGGAGACAGTCCTGGCGCTTGCTGGACTTTCTTGGGCGCCCTGAAGCCTTCTTCAACAACAATTGAACCTCTCTCCTTGAAGTTCTTGATGATCCGATAAATGGTTGATTTAGGTGCAATCTTACTAGCAGCAATATCCATGCCTGTGAAGCCCTTTTTGTGCAAAGCAATGATGACGGCACGTGTTTCCTTGCAGGTAACCATGGTTAACAGAGGAAGAACAATGATTTCAAGCACCACCCTCCTTTTAAAGCTGTTATTCTAACTCAATCAGCATGACAGAGTGATCTCCAGCCTTGTCCTCGTCAACACTCTCACCTGTGTTAACGAGAGAATCACTGACATGATGTCAGCTGGTCCTTTTGTGGCAGGGCTGAAATGCAGTGGAAATGTTTTTTGGGGGATTAAGTTCATTTTCATGGCAAAGAGGGACTTTGCAATTAATTGCAATTCATCTGATCACTCTTCATAACACTCTGGAGTATATGCAAATTGCCATCATAAAAACTGAGGCAGCAGTTTTTATATTAAAAAAAATAATATTTGTGTCATTCTCAAAACTTTTGACCACGACTGTACACAAAACAATACAGCACAGAAAGCTGCAGTGCAGTACAGTACCGTTTACAGTACAATAGTCTATAAATGTCTCCATGGATACTGTAAGCTAATTGAAGATCAGGAAGATAAGGCTTGGATCAGAGAATGGCTCATTCCTCAATAATTGTAATGTAAACATGTGTCATTACCATAAAGATGATACGATAATTGGCTGTGTTAATGGGTTCCTCCACTAATTGGTTAAACTATTTGCATATGTACATTTTGTTGACTTCATCGATGTGATCATCATTCAGTGATCATCCTAAATGTCAGGTGACAGGTCGTCCAATTTCCCCCCAGAATAACCTTTCCTTGAAAATGGCTGTAGTCTGTGTGATTCTCTTAGACGCATTTCATAGATGGGTTGAATGTTAGTCAAAAGGTTAGCCTTATTGGAACATAGATCAGATAGACTTGTTTTGAAAGGAATGACAAAACACAACAGTGGATTTGAATCCATCCACCCCCGGGTCTGGGTTTTTCATGCTCCTTTATCTTCTCGTCTATCCTTCTATCGTTCTATTTATCCCCCCAGCGGCTATTTTGGACGACCAGTCGGTGTGTGGTCGAGGGGAGCGGCTGGCGCTGGCTCTGGCCAGGGAGAACATCAACAGTATGTTTGAGGGCCCATCCAGAGCCCACGTGGAGGTGGACATCTTCGAGCTGCAGAAGGACTCCCAGTACGAGACCACCGATACCAGTGAGTATGATCAGTACAAAGCAGTATTGTCAAATAGAGCTGGATAGACATTTTATTCACACAAATGTGACCGACAGGTTTCAAACCCAGGTCGAATCCTGGGTACTGCAAGAATGTTAGCCCGCTAAGCTAATGTGAATGCTACACTTATTGACAAATCCCACTGGGCACACACTGGTTGAATCAACGTGGTTTCCACGTCATGTCAACTAAATTACGTTGAACCAACGTGGGATATTCCTGGATAGACACTTAACTCATACAAATTTGATGGACTGGGTTTGAAACCCAGGTCTCCTGAGTGCCACAAGACTGTGTTAGCCATCTGAGCTAACACTAGGCATTATCTCAGAGGAGCTAACGCAAGTCTTCTGATCCCAGGCAAGGTCACTCATCACACGAGTTACACCCACAGACACTTACACAGTGCAGTGTACCACTGACAGAAGTTATTGTCTCGGAAAAGGACGACTCGACCGAGCTAAGCGTGTATGCGAGATCATTATTTTTCACAAGGTATAGCGTTTTGTACTCTCACCATCACAAAGGGAGGCAATATCCTTTTACTGCAGTGGGCTAAATCAGGCTCACACAGAGTGTTTCCTTGATAGTCTTAAACAAATCTACTTTGAAACAAAAGTATACACCTCACACACATGGTTATGGGCTTGAAAAAAAAAGAAGACACCTGTACCATGTCAGACATAGAGCTGAAATGTATTCCATTTTGAGTTTGCATCCCAATATTACACTTTATATACATCACAGAAGACTGAAATATAACAAAACATTTGACATCGAAACACTGGATTTTCTGTGTATTAGTTTATTTTTATTATTAATTATGAAAAATATTAATAACATTCCACCCATGAGGCCACTGGGTCTTTTGACAGCAGGAAAGGGTCTACTGTAGTGGGTCTTAACAGTTGCTCTTTAAGCAGTGAGTGATCTGCAAGCATGCACGTGCATACACACATACTGTATGCACACACAGACACACATACATTGCTTATCTGTCTCGGATCTGGGAGTGCCGCACAGGTTTTTCTGGACAGAATTAGAACACTAATCTCCACTAGACAGAGTGTGGATTCAGATTGCCGTTATGGCTACAATTAATCAAAAGTGTCTGGCATTGACTCTTAATTTGATTAATCATCCAAGAACAGGACACAGACAGAACTGGACCTCATCCAAGACATTGACTCTTCCATCTCGCTCCTTACTAATTCCCCCATCTTTCTCTCGCTCCTTACTGTCTGTCTGTCTCTCTCTCTCTCTCGTCTCCTCTTTTCTTTCTCTCGCCCTCTATATCCCTCACCCTCTCTCTGTCGCTTTCTCTCTCTCCTTCTCTCTCTTTCTCTCTTTCTCTCCTGTCTCTCTCTCCTCTCTATCTCCCCTCTCTCTCAGTGTGTCAGATATTGCCGAAGGGGGTGGTCTCTGTGATTGGCCCTGCGTCCAGTCCCGCCTCAGGCTCAACTGTCAGTCACATCTGTGGGGAGAAGGAGGTGAGCTAGCTATGTCCTCTAAACCATATTCACACTGCTACTCATACTATATCCCCAAACTCCCATAAACCACTACTCCACTACTTGTCTGCTTACTGGATGATTACCGATCATTGTAAGGACTGGATAGGTTTCATCCATTTTGTTTATAACAATCCTGCTGGGGTCACCAATGCGAAAATGTATACAGTGGGGAAAAAAAGTATTTAGTCAGCCACCAATTGTGCAAGTTCTCCCACTTAAAAAGATGAGAGAGGCCTGTAATTTTCATCATAGGTACACGTCAACTATGACAGACAAAATGAGAAAAAAAATCCAGAAAATCACATTGTAGGATTTTTAATGAATTTATTTGCAAATTATGGTGGAAAATAAGTATTTGGTCTGCAGAGAGCTGGGACCAAAGTAACAAAGCCTACCATCAGTAACACACTACGCCGCCAGGGACTCAAATCCTGCAGTGCCAGACGTGTCCCCTGCTTAAGCCAGTACTGTCAGGCCCGTCTGAAGTTTGCTAGAGTGCATTTGGATGATCCAGAAGAGGATTGGGAGAATGTCATATGGTCAGATGAACCAAATTAACTTTTTGCTAAAACTCAACTCGTCGTGTTTGGAGGACAAAGAATGCTGAGTTGCATCCAAAGAACACCATACCTACTGTGAAGCATGGGGGTGGAAACATCATGCTTTGGGCTGTTTTTCTGCAAAGGGACCAGGACGACTGATCCGTGTAAAGGAAAGAATGAATGGGGCCATGTATCGTGAGATTTTGAGTGAAAACCTCCTTCCATCAGCAAGGGCATTGAAGATGAAACGTGGCTGGGTCTTTCATCATGACAATGATCCCAAACACACCGCCCGGGCAACGAAGGAGTGGCTTCGTAAGAAGCATTTCAAGGTCCTGGAGTGGCCTAGCCAGTCTCCAGATCTCAACCCCATAGAAAATCTTTGGAGGGAGTTGAAAGTCCGTGTTGCCCAGCGACAGCCCCAAAACATCACTGCTCTAGAGGAGATCTGCATGGAGGAATGGGCCAAAATACCAGCAACAGTGTGTGAAAACCTTGTGAAGACTTACAGAAAACGTTTGACCTGTGTCATTGCCAACAAAGGGTATATAACAAAGTATTGAGAAACTTTTGTTATTGACCAAATACTTATTTTCCACCATAATTTGCAAATAAATTCATAAAAAATCCTACAATGTGACTTTCTGGATTTTTTTTCTCATTTTGTCTGTCATAGTTGACGTGTACCTATGATGAAAATTACAGGCCTCTCTCATCTCTTTAAGTGGGAGAATTTGCACAATTGGTGGCTGACTAAATACTTTTTTTCTCCACTGTAAGTCCTTTCAGGTTAGTGGATGTGAGGGAAAGGAGACGTGGAAACAGTTCATGTTGGGACACAGCCATTGTCGCTCTAGGAAATGTCCTCTCTGATCTCTCTCCCTCGGTCATAGTTCAGTGAACTCTATAATGAGTTAACTGTTGTTCATTCAGTGTGAACCTGCATGGTCACACTTCGGTCATGCAGAGAATTGACCTGGTTAATACTCCTTCTTTCACTAGCTACGATAATGAATCACAATCTTATTCCATGGTTAGATTACAATCTCTATACATCTCTCGTCGTCTAAATCTGCAACAGGACTGATTATAATAATATAATATATATGCTGTCAATCATCTACCAATGGACATTTCTTCAGGCATTTTCACATTAGACTTTATTTCAGTACGGGGTGAGCAGCATTTAATCCCATGGGCAAAACATTTCAGACCTAGCCCCTAGGCAGGTTGAGTCAAACAGGGTTTAAAATCTCGCCCTAGGGAGAAAATGCAAATGTAAAATAATTTAGCCTGTTTGCCTTGGAGTTGTCCATGGATGAAATACCAGTATAAAAACACCTTTTGTTTTGTTGCACTTCAATTGGGTTGAATATGGACAGAGCATGATACTACTGTACAGGGTAAAAGCTTAAATGCTTAAAGGCCCAATGCAGCTGTTTTTATTTTAATATCAAATCATTTCTGGTAACAATTAAGTAATAGTTTTCCATTAAAATGGTCAAAAAGAACAAAAAATAGCTTATAAGCAAAAAACTATTTCTCAAGCAAGAATTTTGCCAGGACTGTCTGGGAGTATTCTGGGTGGGGAGAGGGAGGATTATGTAATCTGAAAACTAGCTGTTATTTGTCAGCGTCTGGGTGCAGTGGGGAAACGGAATCAGGCGCAGGACACAGAACTGAGAGATAAATGGCTTTACTAGAATCCAAGTAAACCATAGCAAACCCTCCACGCAGGGAAGAGCAAAACAACAGCTCAACAGACGACGTAACAAAGAACAATCACGCACACACCCAGGAGGGAAAACAGAGGTAATATAGGGAAACTAATAAGCCTAATGAGTAACAGGTGTGAACAATAAAGACAGAACTAGTGAGACACAGAAACATCGATCGGTGGCAGCTAGTACTCCGGTGACGACGACCGCCGAAGCCTGCCCGAACGAGGAGGAGGGGCAGCCTCGGCCGTATCCGTGACATTATTGGCAGATGTTTGAAACTCTCTTTGTGTTATGAACGTATATTGCCTGGTGTTGTCACCAGGCAAGCCTAAACTCCACCTATGCAAAACCTGCTGATTAGAAGGTCCTGTGTAGATTGTATTTTCAACCAGCAACTATCAGGTTATAACACTGATCAAATGTTTTCACACTTTTACAGTGTTAGTTTCATCAGCTGTTGTACAAAATGATACAAAACACAGGGAAAACATAATTTTGACTGCACTGGGCCTTTAATTTACCTCCCAGCCCGTCATCTCCCTTCCTCTTTTGCTAATTATAGTATTATACATGTATGATAATCCATCCTTTATAACACACTCACATAAAAAGGTATGAACACTTCCCTTGACCAATTCATAATGTTTAAAAGTGCATTTATAACGCCTTATGTTGCCTACTGTCTCAGATTCCTCATGTGAAGATAGGCCCGGAGGAGACGCCCAAACTCCCATACCTCCGCTTCGCCTCGGTCAGCCTCTACCCCAGCAACGAGGACCTGAGCCTGGCTATAGGGGCCATTCTCCGCTCCTTCAGCTATCCCACCGTCAGCCTCATCTGCGCCAAGGCAGAGTGTGAGTGTTCACCTCAGGGTGTCTGATACTGCATGCGTGTTCCTATACTTCCCTAATTCTATATTTCCATACTACAATACTTACGTACGCTCTTAGAAAAAAAGTGCTATCTAGAACCTAAAATGGTTATTCGGCTGTCCCCATGGGAGAACCCTTTGAAATAACTATTTTTGGTACCAGGTAGAACCCTTTAGGTTCTAGGTAGAACCCTTTTGGGTTCCGTGTAGAACCCTTTTCCACAGAGGATTCTACATGGAACCAAAAAGGGTTCTACCTGAAACCAAAAAGGGTTCTCCTATGGGGACAGCTGAAGAACCCTTTTGGAACCCTTTTTTCTAAGAGTGTACAGTCTCATTTATGCCAAGGCAGAGTATGGGTGTTCAGCTCGACTGTATTCGTGTCCTCCTATATTTCCTTTACCTCTGTATTTCCATACACAAACTTTCTACGGTTACAGTTTGATCTGCGCAAAGGTTGAGTTGAGTGCAGGGTATTTGATGCCACATTTATCATGTACTTCTATACTTTGCTTCTTGCCTATTGTTAAAGTATCACCTGTGCCAAGGCTGAGTGTGAGGTTGGAGATGCCCTGCATGCGCTGTGTTGCTTTGTGTGTTTTCCTCAAAGTGTCTGCTCACGTAATCCTTCATTTAGCCAAGAAGGTTATAGTAATACATAGCTATCCGTTGAGGTTTACGTATTGTGTATATGTTTTGACGCTTTAGGCTTGTCAACATACAGCCGATGCCCCTGAAACTTCAGCAGAGCAGCAGAACGTATCATTTTGCATTGGTCTGATGCTCCTCGTCGCAAATAATCCAACTCCAACAAAGACCCTGAACTGTACAAGTGTATTCCAGTAGCCCAGAGCTATTCGTACATCCCTCTATCACCCTCCCATTGGTCCCCCTACATCCTAGGGTCCCCTGCACACAGAGTGCAGCCGCCCAGCCAGTCCAGGCAGTGGATTAGCCCAGTTCCCCTCCAGATTGGATTATGCCTTCCACATATGAGCTGCCTCTCCACTTGACTGCTCAGGTCTGGGCCAAGGTCGGGTGTGATCATGCACTGAATGCATCTTTTTACAGGCCGCGCCGCACTCCCTCTTTATCGATCCCGCTGTTTTCCACTTGGCTGGACTGGTATGCGGTCTGTGTAATGTGCCCTCGCAAAATATGTAGTTTTTTTTTCTCTTCTTTTTAAAATCATTTTTACAGTCGGCTACACTGCCACTGTATTGGTTTCTCTATTCCCTGCTCACGGCCCAATTACAGCCACCCTATGGAGAGTTTATTGTTGCTATTATCAAGGTCATGCATGTGATTTTACTAGTCCTGGATAGTTTAACTCAGTGGTCACTGAATTTGATAAAAACGGGCAGGAAGTAAAGGTGTACTTGTCATTAATTTTAGAAAAAAGTGAAACAATTAAAAATATTCAAAAACCCTCCTTAGTTACACAGAGAATGTGAAAATCGATATTAAGAGGATCCTCTAGGCATTTAAAGTTACCATCTGGTTACCTTCTGATTACCTGTTAAATGGCATATAATATTATATATTTACCAAAGTAGTTTTAGAGTTACTACGCAGTATAATATAAAGGGGGAGGGGGACAGAGAAATAGAGCAAAATATAAGTAATCAAAATGGTAGCAGTAATCAAAATGAGTTTTGAAACAGCAATACAGTGCTATAGTACTCTGAAATGTTTGGTTGAGGTATCACAAAATGTGTGGTTCATCAACACATACCCAGCCTCTAACTTTGACGTGCTCCGCCTCCACCCTTTAGGCCTGCTGCGATTGGAGGAGCTGGTGCGGCGCTTCCTGATCTCCCGGGAAACGCTGTCTGTCAGGATGCTGGATGAAAGCCTGGACCCCACCCCCTTGCTGAAGGAGATCAGAGACGACAAAGTGGCCACTATCATCATCGACGCCAACGCCTCCATCTCTTACCTCATCCTCCAGAAGGTCAGGACACTAACCGGGCTACAGTTACAAAGACAACTGACAACAGTGTGGTCCTCTGTAGCTCAGGTGGTAGAGCAAGGCATAGTGGGTTTGATTCTCAGAGCCACCCGTACGTAAAATGAATGCACGCGTGACTAAGTTGCTTTTGATAAAAGGCCTGCTAAATGGCATATATTATTATTATATATTATTGTTTCAAAACTTTCAAAGAATTATGTAACACTTTATTTGAAGGCTACCTAGATCTACATAAGGACATTTTACATTTACATTTTAGTCATTTATCAGACGCTCTTATCCAGAGCGACTTACAGTTAGTGAGTGCATACATTTTTATTTTTTTATACTGGAATCGAACCCACAACCCTGGCGTTGCAAATGCCATGCTCTACCAACTGAGCTACATCCCTGCCGGCCATTCCCTCCCCTACCCTGGACGACGCTGGGCCAATTGTGCGCCGCCCCATGGGTCTCCCGGTCGCGGCCGGCTACGACAGAGCCTGGATTCGAACCAGGATCTCTAGTGGCACAGCTAGCACTGCGATGCAGTGCCTTAGACCATTGCGCCACTCGGGAGGCCCGTATGAGGACATCATAACACATGTATCACTCATATATAACACATTTGTAAGCAGTACATAAACATTCCAGAAACGGAATAATGATGTTATTTAGACATAATTAATATATCTACTTATGAATCTGTTATGTATGACTTATTAATGTGCTATGAAATCTTTTTGTAGGTTTGCCTTGCCCAGCTCAATGTCATTCTCTGCAGTATAACACATAGTACCATTTATCCTACTCTATATTGCAGCCAGAAGGCACATTATGCATGCTTTTAAAGGATGTATTATTCTGTCCACCGGGGCGGCAGGTAGCTTAGTGGGTAAGAGCGTTGTGCCAGTAACCGAAAGGTCGCTGGTTCTAATCCCCGAGCCGACTAGGTGAAAAATCTGTCGATGTGCCCTTGAGCAAGGCACTTAACCCTAATTGCTCCTGTAAGTCGCTCTGGATAAGAGCGTCTGCTAAATGACTAAAATGTAAATGTAAATGTACTGGTGGCACTACCAGTGGCACAAGTACTGTAAGCTATATAAATGCTACAAGTAGTCTTCATGTAAGTAGTGTAGATGCACGTCAAAATAGCAGACATGCGCTGTTAACTTTACATTATGTCTCAATAGCAGAGAGGTCACAGTTGTACATGTTATACACCTGCTCATGTGTATAAAGTGAACCAACTTGTTATCTGAATGCCGTATGATCAAGTTACTGCATCACCCACAATGCAGTACAGTTCAGTGTATCAGCACTGTTACCAATGACCGCCTCTCTCCTTTTCCACCCTCTCAGGCATCGGAGCTGGGGATGACTTCAGCGTTTTACAAATACATCCTCACCACCATGGTAAGAGCATACCAATCAAAATTCTCCGTACCCTACCCACTACCCTCTCTGCTCGGGCCCTGGCCGCCCGGCCTATGGATGGCTATCGCGGCGGATCTTATCTGAAATGCATGATGGGAGTGCGCAGTTTGTCATCATTATTTCCCTGCCCGGTGCATGCCCTTGTGTGAGGTGACTTACATAGCTAATAATATTTTCGACATCGTATCCCGTCCCGTCTACAGTGTAGGACGTTTTTACCGTGGTACTTACAAGGGTGTGCGCCTCACACCCCCAAGAGCAAAACGGCAGTTCCCCGAACATTGGAGAGGGACCAGAAATCTCTAAATCATGACCCTTTCATTTTCATACAGTAGCTGAATGGCACGCCACTCTACTGTCTGGAACTGGAACCATTGGTGCCCTGCCTCCCGGTACCAAAACACTGTCCCTGTATTGTACCATGGTCCTATATAGTACTGAGACACTGTGGCCTTACAGTATACAGTATCACTCTGCTATTGTGAGATGCTGTGGTACACTGTTACCACTGCTCTCCAACAGCAATGAACTTTTTCAGAGCCGTATTTCAAAAATATTTCAAAAGTTTACAAATAAGAAAAATGTACTTACCCTCTTCTACCCCTATTCCACACAGCTATCTCATACCTCACTGTTGAACAATCATTTAATATAATATACATCACTGGGGGGAGTGGGAGGAACACATAAAAAATTAAAACTAACATTTTGCCCACCTGTATGGTTTAGCTAGCTCTCTCAGAATGTTAAATCCCAAGCCCCTCCCTCCCGCTTATGTCAATCAGGACTTTCCCCTGCTGCGATTGGACGACATGGTGGATGACCAGTCCAACATCGTGGGTTTCTCCATGCTCAACAGCAGCCATCCCTTCTACCTGGAGTTCATCAGGAGTCTCAACCTGTCTTGGAGGGAGGGCTGTGAACTCAGCCCCTACCCCGGCCCAGCGGTGAGAACAGCACACCTTGTATGTGGTTGTCTTTATATACTGTTACTGTTACTGTTACTCATACTCACTCTTTCTCATATACTGTACTCATATACTCTCATATACTGTAATACTCTCCCTCCATATTTACATTCACTGTAACGCATATCTTCTTCAAACACTGTTATATTCTGTTTAAATAGTCTTACAGTCACTCGTATACTGATTACTTACTAATACTCATATACATTACTCAAATCGTTTTTCTCATACACTGTCACATACTGTTACTCTTATACTGTCACTCATATACTGCTACAGTAACTTACTCATATACTGCTACAGTAACTTACTCATATACTGCTACAGTAACTTACTCATATCCTGCTACAGTAACTTACTCATATCCTGCTACAGTAACTTACTCATATCCTGCTACAGTAATTTACTTATATAATGCTACAGTAACTTACTCATATACTGTCAGCCAAGTATTTATCTTGTGTACTCTCTACTGCTAAGTTACCCACATGCTGTTACCCGTATATTTCGACTACTACCCGTATACTCTCGATACTAACTTATACTGCTCAAGCGTTATATATTTTATACTATAACAGTATCATGACATCCAATTTCACATTCCCTCATACATTCTCACTCATACACTTACTCGTATGTCCAATGCCACACATTTACTCCTACATTTCTAGGTCATACACAGCAGAGGAGGCTGGTGGTAATGGCTGTAATGGAATACATGGAAAGGTATCAAACACATCAAACATGGAAACCACATGTTTGACTCCCTTCCATTAATTCCAATCCAGCTATTACAATGAGCCCGTTCTCCTATAGCTCCTCCCACCAGCCTCATACACAGACTTTATCACTATTCCTTTTTACACTATCAAACTGCCAGTCGTAGTACACAGATTGCCATGCTGTCACTCACAATCATTGTGATTTACACTCTGTCAGGTTGACTGATGCCTGACCAGATGTCATTAATGTTTAAAGGATAGTTTGGGATTTTGGCATTGAGGCCCTTTATCTACTTCCCCAGAGTCAGATGAACTTGTGGATACCATTTTTATGTCTCTGCGTGCAGTTTGAAGGAAGTTGCTAATTAGCGCTAGCACAATTGCTATCTAGCGTTAGTGCAATGACTGGAAGTCTATTGGTATCTGCTAGCATGCTTCCAGTCATTGCGCTAACGCTAGTTAGCATTGGCTTGCGAAACTATCCTTAACTTCCTTCATACTGGACACAGAGACATAAAAATGGTATCCATGAGTTCATCGGACTCTGGGGAAGTAGATAAAGGGCCTCGTTGCCAAAATCCAGAAGTATCCCTTAAAGGTTTGATTGAATCACACCGCTTTGGCACAGACCACAGTGCCACCTTGTTGATTGAGTAACGTTACATCTATCTCAATGTTTCTCACTTTTAGTCTTTCTTTCTCCATCTCTCTTTCTATCTTTATGCCTGCCTCTCTCATCTTTCTCTCTCCATCTCTCTCTACCATTGTGCCTCTCTCCATCTCTCTTTCCTTCCCTCCCTCCCTCCCTTCCCCTATCCCCTTCTCCCCTTACCTCTCTCTCGCCCACAGCTCTCGTCGGCTCTCATGTTTGATGCGGTGCATGTGGTGGTGGGGGCGGTGCGTGAGCTCAACCGGAGTCAGGAGATTGGAGTGAAGCCACTCAGCTGCACCACTCCTCAGATCTGGCAGCACGGCACCAGCCTGATGAACTACCTGCGCATGGTACCAACACCTGCTCTTGCTTTACTCGATGCTGTCCCAATGCTGTCTCAATACTGTCCCGATGCTGTCTCAATACTGTCCCGATGCTGTCTCAATACTGTCCCAATGCTGTCCCAACACTGTCCCAATGCTGTCCCAACTATCCCATTTTGTATTAGCCAACATTTTGGGGGGGCCAAGGCAACAATGTAATGTTGTTGACTACAGAAACCTTTAGTTCACCTGTGTGGTTTCTCTTTACTGCATGGTGTCCCAACTAGCCAATTGTGCCACCTGCATATAAGCCAACTAGGTGCAGAGCTTAGTTGAAATATGCAATATGGCATGGTACATCCACCTGTTACTGAACACTGCCCCAACTAGAGTGGCTAGCTATTTATGCATTTGTCCCCTTAGCCAACTGAATTGACTGAGTTGGATTGGAATTGACCCCAACCCTACCAGTAGGCTAACTAGTGAATAGCACAGCTCCACTTAGCAAAACGTTAGTGCTTGAAGCACTATCCTATAACCTACCTGTCGCCTTCGTGGTTTTCGTTTGTTGCCACGTATACTACTGCTCTTGTTTTGTGGGGGTTGTTGTTGTGGGGGTTGTAGTTGTGTGTTGTGGTGTTGATGGTATTTTTTCCTACCTTCATTGCAGTGCTCTGCTGGGCAGCATATTTTCTCTCCATCCTCTCCTCCTCCTTCATTCCTCCTCTCCTATCGGAGTCTGTCACTTCTTATCTTCCCCCATTTGTTTCTCGCCTCATCTCTCTTCAGTCTCAGACAATGTTTTCTCGCTCTCCGCGCATCATTCCATCATTCGTACACTCTCTTTGGCAGTGGTTCCACTCCTCTCCTCCTTTCTTCCCCCTCCTTCCCCCGCTCTGTTGTTCCTCGTTTGGGCATCTCTCGTTCTTCCTCTCTTTTAGGGTATAATTCATCCTGAGTCTTTCTCTCCACGCTGCACCCTCTGTCTCTCTGCCTGCCTATTGTTTTAGCCATACATCTCTCTGTCTCTCTCGCCACTTTCAGCAATCTAATATACTGCTGCCAAGCCTAGCTATCGCCTGTCTGTTTGTCTGGGCTGAATCTCTCTCTCTCTCTCTCTCTCTCTCTGTTTGTCTGTCCCTCCCCTCTCTTTCTGTCTTACATTATTTTTCTCTCTATTTGCCACTCTCTCTCTGGCTCCTTGAAAGAATCAATTGTTTTTATCTCTCTTGCTTCCCCTCTCTCTCTCCCTCAACCCCCCCCCCCCCCCCTCTCTCTCTCCCTCCCTCCCTCTCCCTCTCTCTCTCTCTTTCTCTTTCTCTTTCTCTTTCTCTTTCTCTCAGGTGGAGTATGATGGGTTGACCGGCAGGGTGGAGTTCAACAGCAAAGGCCAGAGGACAAACTACACCCTGAGGATCCTGGAGAAGCACCATGGGGGTCATAAAGAGGTCAGGGGGTCAAGGGGTAATGGGCTCAAATATGACTGGGTCATTGGGTCATGGTGGGGTCGGGGATGAATGGCTCTATTTATGAGCTGATTTGACAAGCACTGGAGTTAGATACACTATACGTATTGACTAACGCATACACATTGATCATGGGTTTAACCCTATTCTCTATCTCTTCCTCTTCATCCTCTTCATCCTCTTCTCCCAATCCATTTATCTTCTCTTTCTTTCCTCCGTCATCCCTGAGTATAGATCGGGATCTGGTACTCTAACAACACGTTGGCGATGAACTCGACGTCTCTGGACATCAACATGTCGGAGGCGCTGGCTAACAAGACGCTCATCGTCACCACCATATTGGTAAAGACATTAAGGTTTCGCAAATTTGCATTGGTAGAATGTGAAACTGTTGGTTTTCTGTTGGCCATTTTGGGTCAAACAAGATGAATTTCATTTACCAAGAACAAAAAAAAAGAGTCAGTCGGGTACACTAATCATTTTATTGTACGGTAACTTTTAAAATCAGTTCTATACACCTGATCAAGTAAGTGCTAAGTAGATGTTAATGTCATTCATGGATAATAGGTCGCTTATTGCCACTTAGTGACAAATCATTTTGCCAGTGACCTATATGCAAGAAATTACAATATATGTAAATGCTGGTATGTGCATGCATTCCAAGTGAAAAATGTGCCCTTACTAAATTCTTCAGTACACTGTTCCTTCTTTGAATTATGATGAAGAGATTTTCAGCAACTGTTGGTAGGACGATTTACATTTTAGTCATTTAGCAGACATTCTTATCCAGAGCGACTTAAAGTTAGTGCACTTATCTTAAGATAGCTACGTTAGACAGCCGCATCTCAGTCATAGTAATCAAATGTTTTCCTTAATAAGTGGCTATCAGCAAAGTCAGTGCTAGTAACAAAAGACAAGTGTGAGTATATATAATCAACACGTTTCGGTAAATGCCTTCACCGTCTTTGAATTATAGCTCTTGAATGACCTTTTGCTTTCCTTCTATTGCAGGAGAACCCGTATGTGATGCGCAAGTCCAACTACCAGGAGCTGCAAGGAAACGACCGGTACCAGGGCTTCTGTGTGGACATGTTAAGAGAGCTGTCGGACATGTTGAAGTTCTCCTTCAGGATCAAGTTGGTGGATGACGGGCTGTACGGAGCACCTGAACCAAATGGATCCTGGACAGGCATGGTGGGAGAGCTCATCGATAGGGTAAGCACACACATTTCACACACTCACGCATGCACACACTCACGCTGTCAGAAGGCGTGGATGTGGTGTAGGAATCAATCGCAGGACACAGAGGCTTAGTCTAAAAGTCTTTAGTCAAGACAAAATGACCCGGCTACAAAACAGAGCCGGAGGCACGAGAAAATTACGCACACTGCGTAAACGAGCAAAATGCAACAAACGCGCACAACAAGTGCGGACTCTCTATAAACAAAACAAATAGAGAAAAATGTACTGACTGCTCCAGCTGACAAAAGAACAACTACACACAAACACATGACAGAAACAACGAGAACTTAAAGGACACATAATCAACACTAAACGAGAACAGGTGTACCAAACAGACCAAACCAAACAAACATCGAAAACAAAGAACGGTAGCAGCTAGTACTCCGGAGACGACGACCGCCGAAGCCTGCCCGAACAAGGAGAAGGAGCAGCCTCGGCCGAAACCGTGACAGTACCCCCCCCTTGACGCGCGGCTCCAGCCGTGCGCCGACCCCGGCCTCGGGGACGACCAGGAGGACGCGGAGCAGGGCGCGTGGGATGACCACGATGGAACTCAGTCAGAAGAGACGGGTCTAAGATGTCTCTCCTCGGCACCCAGCACCGCTCCTCCGGACCGTACCCCTCCCACTCCACGAGATATTGGAGACCCCCCATCCGATGTCTCGAATCCAGGATGGACCGAACTGTGTACGCCGGAGCCCCCTCGATGTCCAGCGGGGGCGGAGGAGTCTCTCCTATCTCACAGTCCTGGAGTGGACCAGCTACCACCGGCCTGAGGAGAGACACATGGAACGAGGGGTTAATATTCTTATAATCAATAGGTAGTTGTAACCTGTAACACACCTCGTTCAACCTCCTCAGGACTTTAAAAGGCCCCACAAACCGCCGACCCAGCTTCCGGCAGGGCAGGCGGAGGGGCAGGTTTCTGGTCGAGAGCCAGACTCGATCTCCCGGTGCGTACACCGGTCCCTCACTGCGGTGGAGATCGGCGCTCGCCTTGTGTCGACGGATGGCCCGCTGCAGATGGACGTGTGCAGCGTTCCACGTCTCCTCCGAGCGCCGCACCCACTCATCCACCGCAGGGGCCTCGATCTGGCTCTGATGCCAAGGTGCCAGAGCCGGTTGGTACCCTAATACACATTGGAAAGGAGTTAGTTTGGTGGAGGAGTGGCGAAGAGAGTTCTGTGCCATCTCGGCCCAGGGAACATACCTCGCCCACTCCTCCGGCCGGCCCTGGCAATACGACCTCAGAAACCTACCCACATCCTGGTTTACCCGTTCGACCTGCCCATTGCTCTCCGGGTGGTACCCCGAGGTAAGGCTCACCGAGGCCCCCAAGCGCTCCATGAACGCTCTCCAGACTCGAGAGGTAAACTGGGGGCCTCGATCAGACACTATATCCTCGGGTACCCCGTAATGCCGGAAGACGTGAGTGAATAGAGCCTCAGCGGTCTGTAGGGCAGTAGGGAGCCCTGGCATGGGAAGGAGACGACAGGCCTTCGAGAACCGATCCACAACGACCAGGATGGTGGTATTCCCCTGGGAGGGGGGAAGGTCTGTAACAAAATCCACCGAGAGGTGAGACCAGGGTCGTTGTGGAACGGGCAGGGGTTGTAACTTACCCCGGGGCAGGTGTCTGGGTGCCTTACACTGGGCACACACCGAGCATGAGGAAACATAAACCCTCACATCCCTGGCTAACGTTGGCCACCAGTATTTAGTGCTAAGGCAGTGCACTGTCCGGCCAATACCTGGATGTCCAGAGGAGGGTGACGTGTGAGCCCAATAAATAAGTCAATCCCGAACCTCGAACGGAACGTACGTCCGACCCACAGGACACTGGGGAGGACTAGGATCGGTACGCAACCCCCGCTCGATTTCGGAGTCGACTTCCCACACCACCAGTGCCACCAGACAAGACGGCGGTAGTATGGGTGTGGGCTCAACGGACCTCTCCTCCGTGTCATACCGCCGGGACAGGGCGTCTGCCTTACCGTTCTGGGACCCAGGGATGTACGTGATCTTAAATACGAACTGGGCCAGAAACATGTTCCACCGAGCCTGGCGAGGGTTCAGTCTCCTAGCTGCCCGGATGTACTCCAGGTTCTGGTGGTCAGTCAAAATGAGGAAAGGGTGTTGAGCCCCCTCAAGCCAATGCCTCCACACCTTTAGGGCCTGTACCAGGGCTAGCAGCTCCCTGTCCCCTACGTCATAATTTCGCTCCGCCGGGCTGAGCTTTTTAGAGTAAAAAGCACAGGGACGGAGTTTAGGTGGCGTGCCAGACCGTTGCGAGAGCATGGCCCCTATACCGGCCTCAGACGCGTCCACCTCGACCTGGAATGGTAGCGCGGGATCCGGATGCGCCAGCACCGGAGCCGAAGTAAACAGGTCCTTCAGTCTCCCAAAAGCCCTATCAGCCTCAGCAGACCACTGCAAGCGCACCGGACGCCCCTTAAGAAGGGACGTTATGGGAGCTGCCACCTGTCCAAAACCCCGGATAAACCTCCTGTAGAAATTCGCAAACCCCAAGAACCGCTGCACCTCTTTAACGGTGGTTGGGGTTTGCCAATTACGCACGGCAGACACTCGGTCAACCTCCATCTTCACCCCTGACGCAGACAACTGATAACCCAAAAAGGAGACAGACTCCTGGAAAAACAGACATTTCTCTGCCTTGACATATAGGTCATGCTCCAACAACCTCCTCAACACTCGGCGCACCAGGGCTACATGCTCGGCTCGGGTAGAAGAGTACACCAGAATGTCGTCAATGTACACGACCACTCCTTGCCCCTGCATATTCCGGAAGATCTCATCTACGAAGGATTGGAAGACTGAAGGAGCATTCATTAACCCGTATGGCATGACGAGATACTCGTAATGACCCGAGGTGGTACTAAATGCTGTCTTCCATTCGTCTCCCTCCCTAATGCGCACCAAGTTGTAGGCGCTCCTGAGGTCCAACTTTGTGAAGAACCGCGCTCCGTGTAATGACTCCGTCATAGTCGCAATCAGAGGGAGTGGATAACTATATTTCACAGTAATCTGATTGAGACTGCGGTAATCAATACACGGGCGCAAACCCCCATCTTTTTTCTTCACAAAAAAGAAGCTTGAGGACGCAGGGGAAGTGGAGGGCCGTATGTATCCCTGTCTCAGAGACTCGGCTATATAAGTCTCCATAGCTCTCTTCTCCTCTTGAGACAAAGGATACACATGGCTCCGCGGAAGCGCAGCTCCTACCTGGAGGTCTATCGCACAATCCCCCTGTCTATGTGGTGGCAATTGCGTCGCCCTCGCCTTGCTAAACACAAGTGCTAAATCCTCATACTCGGGGGGAACGTGCATTGCGGGCACTTGGTTTGGACTCTCCACCGAGGTCGCCCCCACGGAAACACCCAGACATCGCCCCACACACTGGGCAGACCACTCCTTAAGAGCCCTCTGTTGCCACGAAATAGAGGGATTATGGGTCATCAACCAGGGAAGCCCCAGCACCACCGGATACGCAGGAGAGTCGATAAGATATAGCTGAATAGTCTCCTCATGACCCTCCCCATCCTAAGTGGCGCTGTGACCTCCCTAATCAACCCCGATCCCAACGGACGGCTATCTAGAGCATGTACAGGGAAAGGATTGTTGACAGGAAGGAGAGGAATCCCTAACTCTACACAAAATTTCCGATCTACAAAATTCCCGGCTGCGCCTGAATCTACTAGCGCCTTATGCTGGGAACGAGGTGCAACCTGTGGAAAACAAACAGGTATGTTTAGGTGCACAACAGAGAGCTCTGGGTAAGTGGGGCGCCTACTCACCTGGAAGGACTCCCCAGTGCGTGGCCTGCCGTCTCATCCCCTTGGAGACCCCCCCCAGCACCTAGCCGCAGTGTGTCCTCCACGGCCACAGTTGGTACAGGGGGTGGCCCCCTTCGGACTCCTTCTCCTCTCCTCTCTAGCGCCAGCACCCCCGAGCTCCATAGGACTCGGCTCGGAGGTGCTGGAGGGTGGAATGGACGACCCCCACTCAGGACGTCCGCGGGTAGCCAGCAGGGTGTCGAGACGAATGGCCATGTCCACCAACTGGTCAAATGTAAGGGTGGTGTCCCTGCAAGCCAACTCACGACGGACGTCCTCCCGTAGGCTGCATCGGAAGTGGTCTATGAGGGCCCGCTCATTCCACCCTGCATCTGCCGCTAGAGTCCGGAACTCCAGTGCAAACTTCTGGGCGCTCCTCCTCCCCTGTCGGAGGTAGAATAGACGCTCTCCCGCCGCTTTCCCCTCAGGTGGATGGTCGAACACAGCCCTGAAGCGACGGGAGAACTCCGCATAGGTGATCGCCGCGGCGTCTATCCTCCTCCATTCGGCGTTGGCCCATTCCAACGCCTTGCCGGTGAGACAGGAGATGAGGGCGGAAACACTCTCGTGTCCCGAGGGCGCCGGGTGTACGGTGGCTAGGTAGAGTTCTACTTGTAGGAGAAAACCCTGACACCCGGCAGCGGTGCCATCATATGCCCTCGGGAGCGAGAGCCGAATCCCACTGTGTTCCGGAGCTTGGACGAACGGACTGACCGGTGATGGTGGTAAGGTAGGAGGAGGCGCGGGTACCCAACTGGTCTCCAGTCGATGCAGGGTATTCATCACTCCCTGCAGAGCGGTTGTGATTTGGGCTATCCTGTCATCCTGTCCGCAGACGCGCTCCTCCCATGACTCGGTCGCTGCTGCTGCTCCTGCTGATTCCATGATTGGTGTGTAGTTCTGTCAGAAGGCGTGGATGTGGTGTAGGAATCAATCGCAGGACACAGAGGCTTAGTCCAAAAGTCTTTAGTCAAGACAAAATGACCCGGCTACAAAACAGAGCCGGAGGCACGAGAAAATTACGCACACTGCGTAAACGAGCAAAATGCAACAAACGCGCACAACAAGTGCGGACTTTCTATAAACAAAACAAATAGAGAAAAATGTACTGACTGCTCCAGCTGACAAAAGAACAACTACACACAAACACATGACAGAAACAACGAGAACTTAAAGGACACATAATATACACTAAACGAGAACAGGTGTACCAAACAGACCAAACCAAACAAACATCGAAAACAAAGAACGGTAGCAGCTAGTACTCCGGAGACGACGACCGCCGAAGCCTGCCCGAACAAGGAGAAGGAGCAGCCTCGGCCGAAACCGTGACACACGCAAACACACACACGCACACACAAATACCATCTAGAAGACTGGCTGTCAAAGTGGGTCAATAGGGTGGGTCTTCAATCAGTCAAAGTCAGCCTTAGATAATCGCCATGGTAACTAAGGAGAAGCCAGGTTAAAATCCTTGGTCTTGGAGAGCTATAGGGATGTGCAGGCTTTGCCCCAGCTCTGCACTACAATACCTGATACAATTCATCTAAGATGTGGATTAGTTGATTAATTTAATCAGGTGTTAGTTCTGGGATGGAACAAAAACCTGCTAAGCTCTCTAGTACTGTGGTTGGTGACCACTGATCAAAGGGTGTGAAGTTTTACATATCAATTCAAGTCTGCTAATAGTCGGGTTAACCTGTAGCTGTTACTGGTAAGAACGTATGGATACAGAGCTGGTGGCTTTCAGACCACAGTCAGAGCTAGGGTTGCAAAATTCAGTTAACTTTCCCCAAATTCCCCTTTTCCAAAAATCCTGGTTGGAGGATTCCCAGATTTCCTGCTTATTCCCTTGTAATTCCAGGAATCTTCCAACCAGAATTTCTGGACAACGGAGGAATTTTGCATCCCTAGTCACAGCTTTTACAACATATAGTTTGTTTATGAAACACAACTCTCCCGTAAATATTCCCTTGTCATAGCAACTGACGAAGCAAAATGTACTGCAATCCGCAAGGCACTCAATGCTCTTTCAACTGCTCTTGCCGTAACAACAACACAGCGTCTAGCACTACTGTTTCTATTTTGTTTGTGACTGCGAAGGATATTTTCGCCACAAAGCCATATACCCACCCGTTACTTCTACCACCATTGCTGTTGCCATAACATCGTTTAGAGCTAATGTTGCCACAACTCAAAACGACAACTGCAATTACTGATGCTATCTGTGTGATTGCTGGCCATATCTCGACTCCCGATAGCGTCTAATAATGCTGGTATATTTAATGGTAATGATAATGACGTCCGTAATGGCCTTACTTTCCCCTTGTGTGAGTGGGGTTGGTGGGGTAGTGGAGCCTTGCGTGACCCAACCAACTCGTTAAGAGGCTAATCTAATGTCTCTGTTGCACACAAGTGTGCATAAACACTGTAAGCGCGCAACACACACACTCTTGGTGGCACACGGACAGACACACACCGAAGGATATGCAGAGTGAGCCCTCACACACACACATTCCATGAAAACACACACTCTCTCACTTGGTTTTTAAATATGCATAGTTATGCAATAACCACACACACACAAACTAACATTCCCTAAACACTTAATTGAATAACACACTAACCCACCCCCCTCTCTCCCGCTCTTCTCTCCTGGTACTGCCTGATGAAAGTGGGTGAAACTCGTTAATGAGTATGTCCTCGTTAATCAATGAATCTGTAATTAAGGAACAGAGAGGTGTCTGGGGTCTTGTTTTTGTTGGATCAGCCATTCACTCTATGGTGACTCTATGTCCTCTATGGTGTTTCCCGCCCCTCTCCTTCCTCTCTACCTCGCTCTTGAAGAATCTTCCCCTCCTCCTCTTACACCTTACGGAGTCTACACTCACCCCTGCTGAGCTCCTACATGTCAAGACTGCTTTCAAGTCCTCCTTGATAACCCAATTGACCCCTTTTTTATCTGTATCTCTTCATCTCTCTGCTCTCTCTTCCTCTTTCTTCGACTCCCCTCTGTCTTATATCTGTCGGCCTCTATATGTTCCTCTCGATCTGTTGTTTTCTCTCTCTTTCTCTGTATTTTCTTCCATCTCGACCTATCTCTCTTTCTATCTTATCTCTACTCTCTCTCTCTCTCTCTCTCTCTCTCTCTCTCGTCCTTCACCTCTCTTCGTCTATCTCTCTCTCTTACCCCTTTCTCTATCTTTCTTTATTCTCTCTCTGAGGAGGATCTCTCTCGATCTCTCGCTGTCTCTCCTTCTCTGCTCTCTCTCTTTCTCCCCCCTTCTTCTCTCCTCTCTCTTTCTCCCTTCTCGTCCTAGCGAGCAAGGGGATAGAGAGAGAGAGAGAGGGGAATCTGATACATTTCTTCTGTTCTTCTCTCTCCCACATCGACTTCTCTATCGCTCTATCTCTCTTAGGCTCTTTTCCTATCTCTCTCTCTCTTCGCGGCTCTCTCTTCTCTCTCTCTCTCTCTTTCTCTCTCTCTCTCTCTCTCTCTATCCTTTAGCTCCTTGTCTCTCTCTCTGTCTCTCTCTGTCTAACACCCCCCCCCCCCCCCTCCCCGCTTTCCCCCTATCCATCTCCCTCTCTCCTACAGAAAGCAGATCTGGCGTAGCTGGGTTCACCATCACCTCAGAGAGGGAGAAGGTCATAGATTTCTCCAAACCCTTCATGTCTCTGGGCATCAGCATCCTGTATAGAGTCCATTTGGTAAGATGACCACGGAGACCAATCTATTTAGTTATGATTTACCACTATGGGTTAGGCACTGTCATTGACTACAGATTATGTGTGCTGTACTATGTTGGTGCTTTTCCACTGTGGGAGTTTTCACTGCTCTTCCCAAGTCCTTAGTGTCAGTCCTAGCTATGAAAACGCAATTTCCCCAGTATAACACCAGAAGGCCATGGAAAGCCTCAGGCTGGACCAGGGCTGCAGTGGAAAATGCACACTTTTGTACATTGTTCCCTATATGGCTTAGTTGTTACTACGTCGGGTAACACTTTAGTTGTGTGCCTATAAACTGTTTATAGACCATTAAAAAATGGTTTGGTAGTAAACTTTCTATCAGCTGTGGATGTATTTACTAACATTGGCGAGTACAGTACATGTATAAATAATTTCTTATGAGGACACATAATCATATACAAGTCAATACGATGAATAGGCTATTTTCAAAATATAGCATGATGATTATAAGTAGTTCATAAGCAGACCTTAAACTAAAGTGTCACCCAACCGTATTCATCCAAAAAGCAATTATCATATATGGACAACAAACAAGCCACATTACTCTGTAGCAGGGTTTCATTTAGACAGTGGTTTGAAGTACTTAAGTAAAAATACTTTAAAGTACTACTTAAGTAGTTTTTTGGGGTATCTGTACTTTACTTTACTATTTATATTTTTGACTACTTTTACTTTTACTTCACTACATTCCTAAAGACAATTATGTACTTTTTACTCCATACAATTTTCCTGACACCCAAAAGTACATTTTACATTTTGAATGCTTAGCAGGACAGGAAAATGGTCCAATTCACGCACTTATCAAGAGAACATCCCAAGAGAATGGTGCCATCTGGTTTGCTTAATATAAGGAATTTTAAAATATTTATAATTTTACTTTTACATTTTAGCGATTACATTTACTTTTGATACTTAAATATATTTAAAACCAAATACTTTTAGACTTTTACTCAAGTAGTATTTTACTGGGTGACTTTCACTTTTACTTGAGTCATTTTCTATTAAGGTATCTTTACTTTAACTAAAGTATGAGTTGGTTACTTTTTCCACCACTGCATTTAGATTATGGTTTTTAATATTTAACAGAATATGCAAATCGAGGATGCAACAATGTGCGGTTCCTTCTTACCGAATTCTGATGGACACTTTGAAGATTTTAGAATAACTGTCCACATTTACTTTTCCTCAGCCAACAAGACCAGTAACAAGCATCAAAATCCCTAGCCTATGTAAATCTACTATCCCCCATAGTAGAAAAATTGACCTATTCTATTGGTCAGTTGGTCGAGAAAGAAATAGCCTATTCCAAACAGACTCTGGGACGGTTGTGGGATGATAGCTCCCAAATTCATCCAACCAGTAGGGCTAGGCTACATAAAAAACGTAGGAAAGCAATGAGTCTGATGCAACAGATCAGAACGTTTAGCTTAAAATGTTGATAAACGATTATTTCTTCACATTATAAGCGCAGCAATGCCCACAAGGCAGTAGACTACGTGCCCATGTTTGTTCCATAATGCAATTAGCGGGAAAACACCGTTGTCAAAAGGGCACGGCACATGCAAGTGGTTTCTTGTGACAAAGATGAAAATATCCGTTAGAAATTTAGAAAGAGAGGAGATCTAATATGCTACTTTGAAGCAAGGTAAGACATGCCTAATAATATGTATTAAAACGTTCAGGTTTCAAACAATTAAGTATTCGTTTTCAAAATGCAGCTGCCTCCAGCTCATTGCAAAGTGGTGTGTGACACGCTGATGATGCAAGCCTGCCTTCCGTTGCCTTTTGACTAGCATCTCTTGCACTGTCTGACAGATTTTCAGCTCAAAGGCTCTGTATCTGTATGCTGTAAGCAAGCGTGTGTTAAATAAGATACATTGCATTCGGAAAGTATTCAGACCCCTTGACTTTATCTACATTTTGTTTTGTTACAGCCTTATTCTAAAATTGATTAAATTACTTTTTCCCCTCATCAATCTACACACAATACCCCATAATGACAAAGCAAAAACATGTTTTTAGAATTTTTTGCTTATTTCTTGAAAATAAAAAACACCTTATTTACATAAGTATTCAGACCCTTTGCTATTAGACTCGAAATTGAGCTCAGGTGCATCCTGTTTCCAACGATCATCCTTGAGATGTTTCTACAACTTGATTGGAGTCCACCTGTGGTAAATTCAATTGATTGTACATGATTTGGAAAGGCACACACCTGTCTATATAAGGTCCCACAGTTGACAGTGCATGTCAGAGCAAAAACCAAGCCATGAGGTCGAAGGAATTGTCCGTAGAGCTCCAAGACAGGATTGTGTCGAGGCACAGATCTGGGGAAGGGTACCAAACAATGTCTGCAGCATTGAAGGTCCCCAAGAACACAGTGGCCTCTATCATTCTTAAATGGGAGAAGTTTGGAACCACTAAGACTCTTCCTAGAGCTGGCCGCCCGGCCAACCTGAGCAATTGAGGGAGAAGGGCCTTGGTCAGGGAGGTGACCAAGAACCTGATGGTCACTCTGACAGAGCTCTAGAGTTCCTCAGTGGAGATGGGAGAACCTTCCAGAAGGACAACCATTTCTGCAGCACTCCACCAATCAGGCCTTTATGGTAGAGTGGCCAGACGGAAGACACTCCTCAGTAAAAGGCACATGACAGCCCGCTTGGAGTTTGCCAAAAGGCACCTAAAGGACTCTCGTACCATGAGAAACAAGATGATCTGGTCTGATGAAACCAAGATTTAACTCTTTGGCCTGAATGCCAAGCGTCACGTCTGGAGGAAACCAGGCACCATCTCTACGGTGAATCATGGTGGTGGTGGCAGTATCATGCTGTGGGGATGTTTTTCAGTGGTAGGGACTGGGAGACTAGTCAGGACCGAGGGAAAGATTAATGGAGCAAAGTACAGAGAGATCCTTGATGAAAACCTGCTCCAGAGTGCTCAGGACCTCAAATTGGGGTGAAGGTTCACCTTCCAACAGGACAACGACCCTAAGCACACAGCCAAGACAACGTAGGAGTGGCTTCGGGACAAAGTCTCTGAATGTCCTTGAGTGGCCCAGCCAGAGCCCAGACTTGAACCCGATCTAATATCTCTGGAGAGACCTGAAAATAGCTGTGCGGCGACGCTCCCCATCCAACCTGATAGAGCTTGAGAGGATCTGCAGAGAAGAATGGGAGAAACTCCCCAAATACAGGTGTGCCAAGCTTGTAGCGTCATACCCAAGAAGACTCAAGGCTGTAATCGCTGCCAAAGGTGCTTCAACAAAGTACTGAGTAAAGGGTCTAAATACTTATGTAAATGTTATATTTCCATTTTCTTTTCTTTTTTTACAGTTTTTTTGTGTTTTTGTTTTTTACTGTTTTTGCTTTGTCATTATGGGGTATTGTGTGTAGATTGATGAGGGGAAAAAACGATTTTATAAATTTTTAGAATAAGGCTGTAACCTAACAAAATGTGGAAAAAGTCAAGGTGTCTGAATACTTTCCGAATGAGCCAATTTAATTCCACAAAATTATGCAAATGAACTTATAGACCAATAAGCATGCCCAGTCAAATGCATTTCCATCAACTGGTATTTCCTTCAAAGAATAGGCTAAAAAGCATTATTTTGCAATGGGATTTTTTCTTCTTCTCCTGGACAATTGGACAGCAGCGATTTTATTTTTAGGCTTTTCTATTTTTTTATAGGCCAAAAGCCGGCTATTACTGGCTAACGGAAACCCTGCTCTGTAGTCAAGTATATTCCATCCCCCAAGGGTTTACAGAGAATACAGGAAAACCATTATCAATTTAATTACTCAAGCTGTCCTCTGTCGTATTCATTAGGCACCAAATGGAAGAAAACGGACTGAAACAGGGAGGGACTACCTGAACCTGTCCAATAAGAAACACTTGTTTTCATTTTCTATTGCTACATTGTGCCCTAATGGATATGGTCCTGTACTCACATTGCCCAGTCTGTAATGAAATCAATGCCATTACCTTGTCCACTTGTGTTTGAAATCTGAAGTGCACCATCTGGTATTGATCCTCATTAACACCATCTTTGTCTTCGTCCTCCAATCAGGGACGGAAGCCAGGTTATTTCTCCTTCCTGGACCCGTTCTCTCCAGCCGTGTGGCTCTTCATGCTGCTGGCCTACCTGGCTGTCAGCTGTGTGCTCTTTCTAGCCGCCAGGTAACTAATTATGCCACCTAGTGGGCTGGGGGGACACCTCAACTTGCATACACTCTAGATAGAATAGACTGGGACCAGGTTATACAGAGGTCGCATCACATATCTAATGTGGCTCTAAGTCTCCTTTCCCTCATCTACTTATGTAATAGAGAGGAGTGAAAGGCAATTTTGGGAATCCTTATTCACTCATTTAGACATGATGAGATGATGTATAAATCATGTGTTGAAGATTAAATAGTCCACCTCTCTCTCTTTGTCCACCTCCCAGGTTGAGTCCGTATGAGTGGTACAACCCCCACCCATGTCTGATGGGGCGCAAGGACATGCTGGAGAACCAGTACACCCTGGGCAACAGCCTGTGGTTCCCCGTGGGAGGCTTCATGCAGCAGGGCTCTGAGATCATGCCCCGCGCCCTGTCCACACGCTGCGTCTCCGGGGTCTGGTGAGTGTGTATGGGGTGTGTGGGAGGGTGGGTTGGGGGGGGGGGGGGGGGTGCACGTGCGCGTGTGTGTCTAGCTACAGTATCAACCTCTGTATTCCTTCCTCCTCCCCTCCTCCACTTTACTCTTTACTCTTTTCCCAAAGATACTGTTCATCAGATCAACCAGATGGCAGTCATATACTGATGGGAATTATATTATACCGCATTATACAATGGGTGGGTCTAATCCTGGATGCTGATTGGTTAAAACTGCATTCCAGCCGGTGTCTATTACACAAGTTACCACCGGCTAAATCTATGACGTTGAAATGCCTATTTACTCTGTTCCATCTGACTGCACAATCCACTGTCTCATCAGCCCAGCCAGGCAATTCATATACTATATCTACACTGTAAAAAGCATCTAGACATTATCTCCCATTGGTAATAACCTTGATGTTATAACCTAATCATGCTAATATATATTCCAAACACAGGCTTCTCGGGCATTATCACTTAAGTACACTCTTAGAAAAAAGGGTTCCAAAAGGGTTCTTCGGCTGTCCCCATAGGAGAACACTTTTTGGTTCCAGGTAGAACCTTTTTGGGTTCCAGGTAGAACCCTTTTGGGTTCCATGTAGAACCCTCTGTGGAAAGGGTTCTACACAGAACACAAAATAGTTCTACCTGGAACCAAAAAGGGTTCTTCAAAAGGTTCTCCTATGGGGACAGCAGAATAACACATTTTTTCTAAAAGTGTATTTCACCAAACCTCACCACTTTTTACTCTAGTTAGTTAGCTCCATTAACTCTAAATTGTCTGTCACGCCCTGGCTCTGGGGACTCTGTTATGTTGAGCCAGGGTGTGTAGAGTCTATGTTTTGTGTTTCTATGTTCAGGATCTAGTTCATTGTGTTTCTATGTTGGCTGGGGTGGTTCTCAATCAGAGGCAACGAGAATCAGCTGTTGCTTGTTGTCTCTGATTGGGACCCATACTTAGGCAGCCGTTTGGGCATTTGTGTTGGTGGGATCTTGTTCCGTGTTGGTTTGTGTATGAACCCAAGGACTTCACGTATCGTTTTGTTGTTTTTGTTCGTGTGGTGAATAATAATAAAAGATGTTCGCATTCCACGCTGCGCATTGGTCCACTCCTTTTGATGATCGTGACAGAAGATCCCACCATAACAGGACCAAGCAGCGTGTCCAGGAGCAGACAGCCTGGACTTGGGAGGAGATATTGGACGGGAAAGGGTCCTGGACTTGGGAGGAGATCCAGGCCGGTATGGATCGCCGTCCTTGGGAGGAGACGGTGGAGGCGCGCCGTAGAGAGGAGCAGCGGCGCCAACCGGGCCGACGTCGGACACGCAAGAGGCAACCCCAAGAAATGTTTAGAGGGGGGCACACGGCATGGACGACGGGGCTGCTGGAGGCAGCTACAGGGTGAGTTTGGGGATTAGGAGAGGAGGCCACCGGGTTTGGGGGGCCGGAAGGGAGGTTGGCGGAGCCTAGAGGTAGAGCAGAGCCAACTCCCCGTACTCAGGCTAGGCAGCGTGAGACTGGGCAGGTTCCGAGATATGCGGAGCTGCGTACTGTACCGCGAGTGGTCCGGCACAGTCCGGTACGTCCTGTGCGAGCACCACACACGTGTCGTGCTAAGGTGGGCATGCAGCCAGGACGGAGTGTGCCGGCTCAACGCTCGTGGCCTCCAGTACCCCTCCTCGGTCCCGGATATCCTGCGCCAGTGTCACGTGCTGTTGTGCCACGTGTACACAGCCCTGTACGTCCTGTGCTGATGCCTCACACAGAGTGTGTTAGGATAGGCATTCAGCCAGGACGGGTTGTGTCAGCTCTTCGCTCCAGACCTCCAGTCCGTCTCCACAGCCCGGTCCGGCCTGTTCCTGCCCCTCGCACCAAGCCAATGGTGCACGTCGCCAGCCCGGTCCGGCCTGTTCCTGCCCCTCGCACCAAGCCAATGGTGCGCGTCGCCAGCCCGGCCTGGCCTGTTCCTGCTCCCCGCACCAAGCCAATGGTGCGCGTTGCCAGCCCGGCCCGGCCTGTTCCTGCTCCCCGCACCAAGCCTATGGTGCGCGTCGCCAGCCCGGCCTGTACCTGCTCCCCGCACCAAGCCTATGGTGCGTGTCGCCAGCCCGGCCCGGCCTGTTCCTGCTCCCCACACCAAGCCAATGGTGCGCGTCGCCAGCCCGGCCCGGCCTGTTCCTGCTCCCCGCACCAAGCCAATGGTGCGCGTCGCCAGCCCGGCCTGTTCCTGCTCCCCGCACCAAGCCTATGGTGCGCGTCGCCAGCCCGGTCCAGCCCGTTCCTGCTCCCCGCACCAAGCCAGGGGTGCGCGTCGTCAGCCCGGTCCGGCCCATTCCTGCTTCCCGCACCAAGCCTGGGGTGCGTGTCGTCACCGGCGCGTCGTCACCGGTTCATCGATGCCTGGTCAGGTACCGGTCAGCTGCTCCACACCGGAGCCTAAGCAATCCGCTCCACCGATGTCCAGTCCAGCTCCAGCCAGCGGAGCCAGACCAGACCAGGGGCACTACGGGGGGGTTATTAGAGGGTGGTGGTCACGCCCGGAGCCGGATCCGCCTCCGAGGAGGAATGCCCACCCGGCCCTCCCCTGTTCGGTTTATGTTTGGCGCGGTCGCAGTCCGCGCCTTGGGGGGGGGGGGGGTACTGTCACGCCCTGGCTCTGGGACTCTGTTATGTTGAGCCAGGGTGTGTAGAGTCTATGTTTTGTGTTTCTATGTTCAGGATCTAGTTGATGTGTTTCTATGTTGGCCGGGGTGGTTCTCAATCAGAGGCAACGTGAATCAGCTGTTGCTTGTTGTCTCTGATTGGGAACCATACTTAGGCAGCCGTTTGGGCATTTGTGTTGGTGGGATCTTGTTCCGTGTTGGTTTGTGTATGTACCCAAGGACTTCACGTATCGTTTTGTTGTTTTTGTTCGTGTGGTGAATAATAATAAAAGATGTTCGCATTCCACGCTGCGCATTGGTCCACTCCTTTTGACGATCGTGACATTGTCTTGATACTGCAATGCACTGTTCAGAATAAAACTGTGTTCAACCTAAAGGTTAAAGTAGTACAATAAGTTCGTTTTTTTGATAATTATGTAGATGCTCAGACAATCAACAAACGTTCCATTAGATCAGTGCTTTCAACTGGAACTTTTGACATGAAAACATGAATCAGACAGCACTCTGTGAATGGAAAGATTTCAACGATTTGACATTTGACCTTTACAATGATTCAGAACAAGAGCAAAACTTTGAGGTGTAATACAATGGGGTGGTATACTGGACACAGATGAAGACCATTTCTGGACAAGGGTTTCAAAATTCTGGTAACTTACCCAATTTTCCTAGGTTTTTCAGAAATCCTGGGTGGAAGATTCCAAGAATCAGTCGGGAATAAGGAGTGAATAAGCAGGAAATGCAACCATGATTTCTCGAAAACCTGCGAATTTTGAGAAAGCTACCGTAATTCTGCCACACTATTCTGGACTAACAACTGAGACCATACAGGCTTTTTAGCCCAGGAGTAGGCTTAACTTTTCCATAGTGTAACTTGTAATAATATGCCTGTCCTCTGTCCCTCCCTCCCAGGTGGGCGTTCACTCTAATCATCATCTCCTCCTACACGGCCAACCTGGCAGCTTTCCTTACAGTTCAGAGGATGGAGGTGCCCATCGAGTCGCCTGACGACCTGGCTGACCAGACCAACATCCAGTACGGGACCATACAAGGAGGCTCCACCATGACCTTCTTTATGGTAGGGATTGTGTGTGTATGTGGGCGCCCCCAACCCCCCCCCCTTTCAAAATGCAAAATTCTCTTAGCCTCATTGCAAAATGTGAAGAATAGCATAATATTAGTTATAAAACTGCATTTTTTCTCTCTGCCCCATTGCGATATGTGTAGAATTGCAGGAAGTGTGTGTGTGTGTGTGTGTGTGAGAGAGGTGCAGGAAAGATGGGGGTTCATGTGTATTTGGTGGGGGTACGTGTGTTTGTGACGCACTGGTATCACAAAACGTTTGGACTTTTCCCCTTCTTTTTTTGCCATGGCAACCTTCAACACACATATAAACAGAACTCCCGCTACCAGACGTACCAGCGCATGTGGAACTACATGCATTCCAAGCAGCCCAGTGTGTTTGTGAAGAGCACGGAAGAAGGCATCGCCCGCGTGGTCAACTCTAAATACGCCTTCCTGCTGGAGAGCACCATGAACGAGTACCACCGCCGCCTCAACTGTAACCTCACCCAAATAGGAGGTCTGCTCGACACCAAGGGCTACGGCATCGGCATGCCCCTGGGTGAGTGGAGAGGGAGTGTGGTGGGGGGGGGGAGAATGAGGGAAGGAGAGAGGGATGGGGTAGATCTTGGTGTCTTGTGGTCCTCTGTAGCTCAGCTGGTAGAGCACGGCGCTTGTAACGCCAAGGTAGTGGGTTCGATCCCCGGGACCACCCATACACAAAAATGTATGCACGCATGACTGTAAGTCGCTTTGGATAAAAGCGTCTGCGAAATGGCATATTATATTATTATATTATAGATCTGGGAGAGAGAGAGTATTTCACCCAGATAGAAGGCATGCTGGACTCCAAGGGCTACGACCCAAACCACCAAGAGCTCTCATCTTATTTGATGCAATTCCATCTAATTTACCATGTTATTACACCTTGACTTTATCCCCGCTGTCTCATTTCATTTTGATGATCAAATGTAACCTTGCATGTTCTTGCTGGAGGCCCACTTTAATATCAAACCCACATGGCCCAGATTGAATCCTGGCTACATATTATAGCCTTGGGGCAAATGACCAGACAGGTCACTCTGTTTTAGCCTCCCACCATATCCCTCATCTCTTTCATCTGTTAAGCCCTCTAAACCATCATCAAAGAATTCCAATCCATAGAAAATAATTTTTTCCCCCAAGAATTCCCAGAATTTCCAAACATCAAAGTAGGCCTCAAAGATATTCCATTTCGCTCAAGGACTGACCAGGGATACATTTTTCCTCTTTCTTTTATCAACATGCCTTTAAGTTGCCCTCCAGCCCAAAGGTCAGAAATAACACACATCTCATCACCTACCGTCGCCATGGCTACGGTTAATTTTTCCTCTGCAACCTTGATGTTACACAAGCAGGTGGTTCTCAACAATAGACTCAAGGACAGACTTGGATCCTTTTTTTAAATATATATATATATATATATATATATATATGTCTTTACTCCAGCTATGTGTGAACTCTTTCGCCTTCCCTATTAGCCAGGCGGGGAATTGGGGTGGAACGCTTTGGAACAGAGGTCCCAAAGTCAAAATCTCAAGGGGAACATTTTGACATTTAACATTTCGTTAGCTTTGTTAGCAGAGATCCATCTGTGAAGTTCCCAGAGTGATTTCCCCAGGTTCCACCCCAGCTAACTAGCCTATTACTGCATATTAACAGTATATCTGGCTGGCCTACCTTACAACCTCCTACTTACATAATTGGTTTTTGCTGCATTGACACAACAGCATGGATGCCATCTTCTAAGGTTACAGTTGGCTCACATGTAGTGCAGAGTTCCAATTATACAAATGTCTCTCTCTCTCTCTCTCTCACTCACCCCCTCCCTCACTTTCTTTCTCCATCACCCTGCTCTCTACTTCTTTGTTAAGCCCTCTTTACTCCCAATCCTCTTTTGCTTCCTCGCTCCTTCTTGATTCGATTTGATTCAATTCAATGAACTTTATTGTCACGATAAGTCACTATCTTTTATTGCCAAGCAAGGACACAGGAAGTTAAATCAATAATGAGGACATGGTGATACACAATTAATAGTAAATACAATTAACAATACAGTAATATTGTTCTCTCTCTCTTTCTCTCCTTCTCTCCCTTCTTCCTCATCTGTCTGTTTCTCTCTCTCCCTCTCTCAATTCCTCCCACTCTGTAACTCTCTCTCTCTCCCTCCCTCCCGCCCTCTCTCGCTTTCTCTCTCCCTCCCACCCTCTATCTCTCTCCACCTCTTCCCCAGGCTCACCGTTTAAAGAGGAGATCACTCTGGGAGTGTTGCAGCTGGCAGAGAACAACAGGCTGGAGATCCTGAAGAGGAGGTGGTGGGAGGGGGGGCAGTGCCCCAAGGAGGAGGACCACCGAGCCAAGGGTAGTTACAGCATCACCTGTGCCAGTAGTTTTTATTTGATTTAACCTTTATTTAACCAGGAAGTCCCATTGAGGTCAGAAGACTTCTTTCGCAAGGGAGACGTGTCAAAGTACCAGCGCTAATGATCAGGGGCCCTATGTATTAAGCGTTTCAGAGTAGGTCTGCTCATCTAGGGTCAGTTTTTCCTTTTTGATCATAAACAATAAGATGACATGGACAGGGAGCACCTGATCCTAGATCAGCACTGCTACTCTGAGACGCTTGATACATACGGCTAGTGGTCTCCAATGAAACACTTGGGGGGGAAGTAGGACACTAACCCTCACACACCCTCACAACCCAGCATTATTATTCATACTTGAATTAGGCTAATAAATACACAACATTTCCATCCAGGAAGGGATCTCCGTCAGGTCCTAGTGTTGGAGGTGCTCTAAAACATTTATAATGACACCCGCATTCATCTTTTTAATGAGCGCCCAGCACTCCCAGCAACCATCATTTAAACTTTGCCATTAGAATCTATACTAATTGCTGAGATAATGTTCATTTGTTCCAAACCAGCTCCTATGCAGTCACATTAGAATGCACACTATGTACAAAATACAATTTGTACACAATACAATGTGAACATTTCCTCAAGTAGTAGTAAGCACTTGTTTCTTAGATAAAGTCAATGTTTTTTGGTGTCACGGAAGAGTGGACACAAGTGAATTTGTAAATGTAGCCCATTCTATTCCCATCGCAATGTCTCACAGTTGGAAATTCCATTTGTTAGATATGTGTGTACTTGATCTAATTGTGATTATGTGTGTGTGAATATGTCGGGTTTATTTTGCCTCAACTTTAAAGATGGAATCCGATGTAGGGGGAAACGGCGTCACTGTCCACCTCACCACCGTTATTATTGTTTTTGTTTTGTTGACGAAGCAGAGGTGACGAGCCTAGCGCAACGTGGTAAAAAAATAAAGTGCTGTACATAATCGCCTATTCTATCACGCATGCAATGATATCTGAGGGGGAAAAAACAGTGTTCGTTGTTTGCAATAACTTCTTTGCTGTTGTAATATCGCAAACGGACTTGGCATTAAGAACAAACCAAATTTGGAAGATGTATTTAATTAGTGTTATGATTACTGCTTTTTACCAGGGGGATATCAGTGTCTACATTGTGTGTGTGTTTGTGTGTGTGTGTGTGTGTGTGTGTGAGAGCATATAATAAAAAAACATATTTTCCTTGCCTGTGTGGTAGACATTTCCCCTTTTCCGAAATATTTCTTATTTTCATTTCTGCAGTTTCATTTTGACATCTGCAACCCTTTCTCCCATAAAAAATGCTTAGATAGCTACAAGCAACAGACTGGACGATACAGAAGAAGACATAGCACGCTATATGTTGTTTGTGTGTTGCACCGTAGGCAGCCTACAATAAGACAGAGTGCATCCCAAATGGCGCCCTATTCCCTATATAGTGCACTACTTTCAACCAGATGGCCGATGGGTCAAAAGTATTGCACTATATAGTGAATAGGGCACCATTTGGGACGCAGACACAGTGGTACGAGTTTATATTGAGTCATCCATGGGATAAATAAGGGCCCTCAGGTTAAAACAGTGAGACTTGAGCCTTTGTCTGAAACACTCGACATAACAAGGGTACTTGCTCAGAGCATCCTTATGAGACATTTTGAAGATAAGAAACATAAAACCTTCATGTTGAATATTCTGTCTGAAAAATAGAACAGGAAAAGCCAAAGGTGACTCTTGTGGTTGCTTATTAAGTCAATTAATGCAGACGTGTTGAATTGCACACACACACACACACACCACTCTCTGTGGGGACATTATGCTGCAAGGTTCCCCCTTAGGCTTTGAATAGAGAGTATTAGAGGGAGCTGATGATCCTGTGGAGGCTTCTTTGTGCACATTTGCCTGTGCTTCCCCTATGTGTGTGCCAGTGTATGTGCCTACACACAGCCCTACCATTGCCCCTCTATCGGTGTGTTAGAACTGCGTGTATAATGCATCCGTTCCTCCCCAGGTCTGGGCATGGAGAACATCGGGGGTATTTTCGTGGTGTTGATCTGTGGCCTCATCATCGCCGTGTTCGTGGCCATCATGGAGTTTGTTTGGTCCAACCGCCGCTCGGCAGAGACAGACGAGGTACGCCCTCACTCCTGCCCCGGCCGAAACCACAGAAAGCCTCCAGTAGGTTACTATGGCAACACACCTCCCGGGTGTTGTGCTTTGGCGTCGTCGTGTTGATGTGTAAATGGCTGCAAGCAAACAGAGGGTGATGGTCGATGTCTGCGTTTCATTTTTTACATTTTAGTCATTTAGCAGACGCTCTTATCCAGAGCGACTTACAGTTAGTGCATACATTGTATTTATTTTTTATTTTTTCATACTGGCCCCCCGTGGGAAGCGAACCCACAACCCTGGCGTTGCAAGCGCCATGGGGCCTGTGTAGCTTTCTTTTCCACTTGTTTTTCTCTCTAGGCCGTCTGTGATTCAGTACTCTCTCCCCATGTCTTTCGTTCTCTATCCCTCACTCCTCTCTCTCTCTCTCTCTCTGTGTTTGTCATTGTTATTCCGCCCGCTAGTCCTTTGTGTCGTTTTTATTTCATTGGCGTCTGGGTAAAATGCTGTTTGTGACTTTCCTGCTTTATCTCCGCTTGCTGCTTTGTTTGTTTTTGTGGTTCCCGTTTCAGTTGTCTCCCTCTCTCCATCTTTATCTTCATTCTCTATTTGAGATCCTTTTGAATATGTGTCAGTGTCACTGGAGGTAGCTACTCATGAGTCATATTTCCATTGCCCAGAGGTCACACTGCATTTGAACAGTGCAACAGGTTTAGTTAACCTCAGACGATTTCTCTCTCTCTTTCGTTCTCTCTTTCGTTCTGCTCTACCACATTCACACTATCATCCCCTTTTCTCTCTATCTCCCTATCCCTCCTCTCCATCTCTCTGTCGCTCTCTCTCTTTCCTCTCTCTAACACTTCTCTTCTCTCTCTCCTAGGTGTCAGTGTGTCAGGAGATGATGACCGAGTTCTGCAACGCCATCTCCTGTAAGAAGAGCTCACGCTCTCGGCGGCGTCGGCCCTTGGCCAGCACTGGTGGCGTCCTGCGCCACCCCACCCGCCTCCAGCTGGGTGTCCCAAGACCCATCCGCCTAGTCCGCGAGATGCGCCTCAGCAACGGCAAGCTCTACAGTGGCTCGGGCCCCCTGACGGGCGGAGGTGGAGCAGTAGGGGGGGCGTGCGGTGCCGTAGGGGGCGGGGCCTCAGACATGGGCTCGGGGCCACCACGCCTCCTGGAGGACCATCTGGGCGCCAACACTACGCCGCCCCCTCCCCCGCCCGCCGCTGCCACGGCGCCACCCTCCCGGAGCTGTGCCCACGTGCGGATCTGCCAGGAGTGCCGGCGCATCCAGAACCTGAGGTCTGCATCGTCTTGCTCACGCATCCCGCCCCACCTCGGCCCACACTCTTCCCTGTCCCTGCCCCGCCTCCCGCCACCCCCGCCCCCCTCCTCCACCAACACCGACAGCGAGGGTGGCGGCTGCGGCACAGTGAGCCCCAGGAGGCCCAAACCTAAGCCTACACCCCCTCCGCGGCCCTTACCCCCGGCCAAGACGCCCACCACAGACCTGCTGCTCGGGAAACAAGACTGAGGAGGGACGGAGGGGTCAGACATGTGACAAGAGTCCAGGGTTAAAAGTCGAAGGTCAGGGTATTTACAGAGAAACGCGTAGGAACAAGGAGCGGAGGGGGCTGTGAGCTTGTAGTGTATTGATACGTCAGGATCAAACCACACTGACCCGTTTGAGGGGGTGGCAAAGGGTTTATTCTCCAGATACCAACACAGTCGTCTTAAACCAGGAGTCCTGCTAAAACAGGAGACTGGTTCAAACTGGACTAGATGGTATATTCAGACACTGAGAGACATCAGGAGAGGCCCTCTTGTTGCTCCCTCGCTGGTCTATGCTCTTCTGCCACAGCTCCAAGTCTGTAGAGAGATGGGCATGCTAAACCAACCGATGGTCTCCACTTTGATGTGCTATGCCACAGGCTGTCTATGGAGTAGAAAATGGCTTTTGACCACACATGACCGTTAGCTGCCTACGGTGCATTGAGAGACCATGTGGTGACCGTTCCACAGTATGCATAGGTGTGTTCAAGCTGCCCGGTTTGGCTTTTGACCCCTCTCTCTTTCACTGGGATCTGGTGGGAAGACTTGACCTATCCCACAAGCGCCGGAGAGGTTCAGGGGACCATAGAAACTTCACACACAGACACACGTACACAGAAACTCTTGCGCTTAGAGAAGTTGGTTCTCGCAAGAAGATGCATCTTTTTTCCCAGAGCTGCTGTAAGAGATTGAACTTTGGAATTCTGGGACGTGTAAAACCAGAGGATTAAAAAAAAAAGATTTTGTGTTCTCGATTTGCTTTCTCTCAGAGTTTAACTCGCCTAATTTATTTTCTATCTTTCTTTCTTTCGTTATATATTTTTATTGTCGACATTGGTTTCTTGGTCACTGTGCAGTTATTCACTCATGTTTTTGGTTTGTCATTAAAGATCCTCGAGAAGCCAATGTGGAGATCATGACCAAATGAGGTCACTTTCCCACCAATCACAAGCCCGGGAACAAAGTTCAAAGGTCAATAGTCAACCGAGGCCATCTCTGAAACATATATTGACAGTACACCCCAGATCAAATGACTCAATATTACAGTCCATGTTGGCAGGTTACAGTAGCAGTGTGTGACTTTGCTTTCCACTGAACAACAAGCCTGTTTTGCCACAGAGATTTAACGACAGAGTTAGTGTATCGGTGCCCCATCACATTACAGAGCAACAGAGCCACAGAGCACAGTTTAACAGCACGATACGTTGTGAATCCTTCAAACAGATCAGAATTTAAGAAACTGGATATAAAGAGCAAGGTTAAGGGAATGACAAAAGAGACAAAATGATGATTATATATAGTTATACAAAGCAGAACAGGAGAAATGTAATGCACAGTTCTGTCTGGCCAATGTTAAGAGGAAACCTGTGTTAATGTGTGTTCTGTGTGATTCATATGGGTGTCATAAGTTTGTGTGTGTGAGTGCGTACGTACAGAGGAAAGGATGGGTCAGAGTGCTTTTCATTTTAATTTTTTATTTCTATACCAGTGCTAAATTTATTATTTAAGCAATAAGGCCCGAGGGGGTGTGGTATATGGCCAATATACCACGGCTAAGGGCTGTTCTTATGGACGACACAACGAGTGCCTGGATGCAGCCATTAGCCATGGAATATTGGCCATATACCACAAACCACTGAGGTGCCTTATTGCTATTATAAACTGGTTACCAACGTAATTAGAGCAGTAAAAATAAATGTTTTGTCATACCCATGGTATACGATCTGATATACCACGGCTGTCAGCCAATCAGAATTCAGGGCTCGAACCACCCAGTTTATAATAAGAAAATTATGACAAATGTATATTATTATGATTATATTGTTATTATCATTACTATTGAAGTGTGGGGTACTGTGGGAGGGTCGCAGCCCTCTTATGTTAAATATATAGACACACAAAGTTATTTGGAATAAAAAACTGTATACAAACTTCTGAATCTGGTGTCTTTGCATATGTCCGTGCCTATGTGTGCATGGACATACAAGTGATTTCAAATCGCAAAGTTACCAGTTCCTGCTATCTCTAGTTGTGTCGTTGGTGGTCTGTCACACAGGATGTTGGGCACTGCACTGGCACTATCCCACAAGTCCCGAAGATGTTCAGGGGACACACATACACACACACGCACACACACACAGAAAGACTGTAACTGAACTATTGTACTACCTTACTACAGTGCTTATTAAAAGTATTATGAACTTAATAACTTAATTATGAACTATTTAGAACATAGACACTAAAGTATTTGGAATAAAAACAACTATAGACAAAGTACTATATTTGTTTTTGTGTGCAAAAATATTTTTATTTGGGATAGAAAGATTTGATAGATTTTCACTGTCCAACATCCCTTTGTCAACCTTCAACTTCTCTTACCACAGCCACAATCTCGCACAGTATGAGGTCAATACTAATCTGACACAGGATCAGCTAACAGTGTAATACATCCCCGAGCTCACTAGGGTGAGTATGTTATGCTAACCTCTGCCACAGGGTGTCAGTATAGTCAAGGCCTAGAGGCAAACAGGGAAATGCACTCTATATGTAAACGTGTTCTTTATTCACCTGACTGGTTAAAGGGGCAACCGACAGTTAAAACAATAACAAAGCATACTGTTTCAGGAAAAAACTGAGGGATGGGGCTGGAGAAATGTGACCACTCTCAAATTCATAGACAGGCTACGGATGCAAGGACTGACCATCCATGATATCAAAAGTATAGTTTTAACCATGTCTTGAGGCTATACAGTGTTTGTGAACACTTACTTTGTTTACAAACATTGGAGTGAAACAAGCTTGTATTTGGGGTTCTGATGTGGTACGACAGTTTAGATAAGCTCATGAGGCATTTATAAGTTATATTCTTCAAGAATAAATGGGTACATAAATTAATTTTGTCCAAACATGGATGTAGCAACTGCAGATTGCCCCTTTAAGTCACAGGTTATAAGACGTTTCACCAATTGTTAGGTTAGTGTAACGCAACTCATATGAATCTGAAAGATTCCAGTTCCTGCTGTCTCTAGCTGTGGTGTTGGTGATCTGTTACATAGGATGTAGTGCACTGTACTGGCACATCTATACAGGCCATGAGAGACCTCAACGATGTACCGTGTAAAGTAGAATATATACTTTATTTTCCAGACTTTTTCTTTATTTCTGTCTGATATTATGCCTCCAAGACCTAGTCTCGGAAATTCCAGACCTAGAAACATGGTTAATGTGGGAGGCAACCCGTCTGCCTAAAGCGACTATCAAAGACCCAAACATGTTGCCCACTGTACAACTGAACTATCAAGCTGAAACCTTGTCTAGCGTATTCTACTGGGTGTCAGCCCTGTCAAGGCAGATGGCAAATCAACCTTTACCTAAAACAATTACAGTAGACTAGCCTACAAAGTTTTTTAGGGTTTGGGGTGAATATCTTTTGAAATAATGCATGCATTTTTTTTCCTATAAATTTGTCTTAGAAATTGGAAAGCTATAGTAATTCCTACTTTTCGAGCAATACATTGTATTTAGAGTTTCTTAATGGTTGAATTGCTAAACGTACAGCAATAGTAGCCTCTATGAGCGGATATGATGACTTGTCATACATTGTTTGGCTATTTGAAATAACTAGACACGATCCTTTAGTCAATTTGTTCATTCTCAGTGGTACTAATAGTTGGTAGTATGTCAAAATAGAGTGTGGTATGTCAATGGGTATAAATCCATTCAAAAAGGCGGGTTTTCTGATGTTGACACCTTTACTGGGTGTGTACCCTTAAGGGAGTGAGTGTACTCATTCAGTTCGTTAAAGCGACAGGTAGCCCGCATTATTCTCTGTCGCAAGAAGGGTTCCAGATATCTGGAATGGATTTGTTTAATTTGAGGTCGCTTGTCATTTTGCTGTCAGCTGTTGGTAAGATTAATGAATATATTCATTATTGTTAGGTCTACATTTAATAGTGAATACAAAATAGTTTGAGATGTGTTGGCTGGGTTTGTTTTTGTAGCTGCATCTGGAGGTGCATTGACGTTGTACTAGTAGAATGCCTTTTTCAGGCCAATAATAGGCTACCATAACAAACATTATTTATAGCTGTTCGCTAGTCCATTGCATATAGCTTGCTTCTGTCTTGATGTCTATCACACACTTGTATATTGAAGTGAACACCTGCATTCAAACCGGTTTCTCTCAGGTTGCTGCAAGGGGCAGAGCGCACTGCCACCGGGCCCCTTGGAGGGAGTACAGGGAAAGAACATCACGTTCGAAACCATTATCATCCCCACAGATGTGGGCGACTTTATCACAGTATCTTGGAATTTCAACGGACTTGTACCTGTTGTCACTTATGCGCCCAAAGGAGAAACATTTGGCGTTGGTTACGCAGGAAGAGTCTCACTGAATTCATCCACTGGCGTATTGAAGCTGGGACCATTGACTGCAAAAGATAGCGGGGACTATGCAGTGACTTTGGTCACTAGTGCTGCAGTACAGCGCACAGGTACAACGTCGCTCAGAGTTCTAGGTGAGTACAGAAAGTCGTTGATTGCACGTATGCGTAAAACGTTAATTGAATGCGTAAATGACCCGAAGTACCCTACACATTTTGGCATATGTTTGCCAAAATCAACTTTATTGTTATTTACAACCAACTGTTTTCGTCTATTCTATTAATTCCCAAGTAGGCCCTACCTGGATGATAGGTATGCCCCTCTGCACAAATACCTTTTGATGTATAATTGCCTAACAAAGATTATAGGCTCAGGGTCTTATATCCATCTTTAGGGCGTGGCCCTATAGCTTGGAAAAGGAACCTTCTAACCTACTACCACGCTCCAGCTAGCAATATGGGATAGAGTGATGTCACCAGCATGCTACATTTAAGCAATAAGGCCAGAGGGGGTGTGCTATATGGCCAATATACCACGGCTAAGGACTGTTCTTATGCACGACTCAATGCAGAATGCCTGGACACAGCCCTTAGCCGTGGGATATTGGCCATATACAACAAACCCCCGAGGTGCCTTATTACTATTATTAACTGGTTACCAATGTGATTAGAGTAGTAAAAATAAATGTTTTGTCATACCCATTGTATAGGGTCTGACATACCATGGCTGTCAGCCAATCAGCACTCAGGGCTCGAACCGCCCAGTTTATAATTTACATTTTAGTCATTTAGCAAACGCTCTTATCCAGAGCGACTTACAGGAGCAATTCGAGTTAAGTGCTTTGCTCAAGGGCACATCAACAGATTTTTCACCCTAGTGAGCTCGGGGATTCGAATCAGCAACCTTTCAGTTATTGGCCCAACACTCTTAACCGCTAGGCTAACTGCTACAGAGCTAGGCCTATCTTTAGCAGTGCGTGGGTGCGTGGGTGCGTGGGTGCGTGGGTGCGTGGTGTCACAAGGCATTTCCTGGATTGATGCTTATCCATGCCAGGATCACAAATGAGTTTTGCCATATCTCAGCTAGACACATATACTATGTGACGCAATTTCTCTTTGTGGGCTATGTCAAATTAAATGGGCAATCAGTACATTTTTTGGACTCATATATTAATGATATGTACCATTGATTCTTGAAGAATACAACTTAGTTTAACTGTTGTTCCCCATCAGAATCGAAAATATAAGCTTGTTGTACTACAATGTTTGTAAACAAAGTAAATGTCAAACACTATATACGCACAAAACATTGTTAAAATTATAGCCCTTGCATCCATAGCTCTGTCTATGAATTTGAGAGTGGTTACATTTCTCCAGCCCCATCCCTCAGCTTTTTACCAAAACGGGGCTGGGGGAATGCTTTGTTATTGATTGCCGCTTTAAGTAATTTGCTTTCTTTTTACATTGCTTAAAAATACAGAGCTTCGTAATGGTATACAGTGAGGGAAAAAAGTATTTGATCCCCTGCTGATTTTGTACGTTTGCCCACTGACAAAGACATGATCAGTCTATAATGTTAATGGTAGGTTTATTTGAACAGTGAGAGACCGAATAACAACAAAAAAATCCAGAAAAACGGATGTCAAAAATGTTATAAATTGATTTGCATTTTAATGAGGGAAATAAGTATTTGACCCCTCTGCAAAACATGACTTAGTACTTGGTGGCAAAACCCTTGTTGGCAATCACAGAGGTCAGATGTTTCTTGTAGTTGGCCACCAGGTTTGCACACATCTCAGGCGGGATTTTGTCCCACTCCTCTTTGCAGATCTTCTCCAAGTCATTAAGGTTTCGAGGCTGACGTTTGGCAACTCGAACCTTCAGCTCCCTCCACAGATTTTCTATGGGATTAAGGTCTGGAGACTGGCTAGGCCACTCCAGGACCTTAATGTGCTTCTTCTTGAGCCACTCCTTTGTTGCCTTGGCCATGTGTTTTGGGTCATTGTCATGCTGGAATACCCATCCACGACCCATTTTCAATGCCCTGGCTGAGGGAAGGAGGTTCTCACCCAAGATTTGACGGTACACGGCCCCGTCCATCGTCCCTTTGATGCGGGGAAGTTGTCCTGTCCCCTTAGCAGAAAAACACCCCCAAAGCATAATGTTTACACCTCCATGTTTGACGGTGGGGATGGTGTTCTTGGGGTCATAGGCAGCATTCCTCCTCCTCCAAACACGGCGAGTTGAGTTGATGCCAAAGAGCTCCATTTTGGTCTCATCTGACCACAACACTTTCACCCAGTTCTCCTCTGAATCATTCAGATGTTCATTGGCAAACTTCAGACGGGCCTGTATATGTGCTTTCTTGAGCAGGGGGACCTTGCGGGCGCTGCAGGATTTCAGTCCTTCACGGCGTAGTGTGTTACTAATTGTTTTCTTGGTGACTATGGTCCCAGCTGCCTTGAGATCATTGACAAGATCCTCCCGTGTAGTTCTGGGCTGATTCCTCACCGTTCTCATGATCATTGCAACTCCACGAGGTGAGATCTTGCATGGAGCCCCAGGCCGAGGGAGATTGACAGTTATTTTGTGTTTCTTCCATTTGCGAATAATCACACCAACTGTTGTCACCTTCTCACCAAGCTGCTTGGCGATGGTCTTGTAGCCCATTCCAGCCTTGTGTAGGTCTACAATCTTGTCCCTGACATCCTTGGAGAGCTCTTTGGTCTTGGCCATGGTGGAGAGTTTGGAATCTAATTGATTGATTGCTTCTGTGGACAGGTGTCTTTTATACAGGTAACAAGCTGAGATTAGGAGCACTCCCTTTAAGAGTGTGCTCCTAATCTCAGCTCGTTAACTGTATAAAAGACACCTGTCCACAGAAGCAATCAATCAATCAGATTCCAAACTCTCCACCATGGCCAAGACCACAGAGCTCTCCAAGGATGTCAGGGACAAGATTGTAGAAAGAAAATCTTTCTACAATCTCTCAACCAGAAATCTTTCTTATTGAGAGGGGGTCAAATACTTATTTCCCTCTAAACTCATTAAAATGCACATCAATTTATAACATTTTTGACATGCGTTTTTCTGGATTTTTTTGTTGTTATTCTGTCTCTCACTGTTCAAATAAACCTACCATTAAAATTATAGACTGATCATTTCTTTGTCAGTGGGCAAACGTACAAAATCAGCAGGGGATCAAATACTTTTTTCCCTCACTGTACCATAAACTACAGTTGGAGAAATCTATGGGAAAGCTATGCTGCTTTAAAAGTTGATAATCTTGTATACCCAGTTTTGAGGTAAAGCCTTTCAAAGTTTTTCACAGTTGTTAGAGAGCTGTTCTTTGTTTACGCCCATTCAGCATTGTTCACACCCTCTTAAGCCTTAGCCCCACCAATCTCTTTAAAGCTGCACTATTTCCTGGTTGCTCAAATTCTAATAGTTTGCCTAATTTCAGTTTATGTGACAAAACAAGCATGTATAACGTAGAGAATCATTGTACTATCTAAATTGCTGCAAAATATGTTTTCCATAACCAAAAATATTTCATTTTCAGCTGTTTGAAGCTGGTGTACAAAACTGAATATAAAAGATGCAAAAACTAAACTTAACGGGAAGATAGAAATAGCGCACATAGAACAGATCTACTGCTTCATAGACTTGCTTTCAATGAGGATGACAAATCTATAACTCACATTTCTATGTGAATTTGGTCAGGTCGCCCAAAAAGTTACATATTGCAGCATTAAGGATTCACATAGGGACAGGTGTCCGTCTACAGACGGTTGGCTGACAACGTCACAAAAATGAAGTTGTGATTCTGAACGGTCAGATAGCTAGCAACAATGACAAGAAGCTGCCATGTGGGGAATCGTAGGTGGCTCATTTCAGATAGTTTTATCTTGTTCTTGATACCATGTGTTGTTTAGAGTTTTTCTTTACTGATTTCATGTCAATCCTAATATGGAAAAAATGTGCTACCTAGCTAACCAACAACTGAAACAATGTATATGAGAGACACCAAGTGTTCATTGTGCAAATGTAATTATGTTTTCAATAAACATTTGTAAACTAAATATAGTTTACATGTTGTCAACAATCTAAGCCAGCCCCATCTGTTTTGCTCCATAGTTGGACACGCGTTGGTTTTGTTGCAGCCTGTGACATGGCAGACCAATCAGAACTCATCCGTTTGCATGTCCAGCTCCTCCATTATTTCAACCAATCATGGCTAGTAGGAAGGTTCCTATCTTTTTCTGTGCTTGTGATTTAACATTTTTATTAGTAGTTACACTTCGCACACTGGTTTGTTATTATGGCACATGAAACTTCACATGTTTCAATAAGGCATAACAATGTAAAAATAAGCATTTTGATGCAAAAATGTTTGTTTTTTACTTTGAAATGCCTCTCCTGTAAAGTAGTAACGTCCGTCATCCGCCCCCGTTCACGTGCTGCGCCACATATTCAAAGCTTGAAGGATGAGTCAGAACTAGGTAACTAGGGAAAAATGTCTTTCAGGTTATGGCAAAGTGTAAAACCACTAAAAGGTCATATACCATTTTATCAGGTCAGATTAGAATGACCCCTGTGTATTTTTGGTCTGTTAAACTGCAGTTTAGTCTATAACATCACAGCCATTGAATGAGCACTTGTCCGGTTCACAACATATTCAGAAAGTCTTTGCTGACAACCTGTTGTTTACTATTCAGGAGTTTAATGCTTTCACCTCATCCACCCATTCACCCTCCTCTACCTCCGCCCTCCCCTCTTCAGAACCGGTCTCCGTCGTGACCATCACGTCCAACCTGAACGAAGCGGTCGAGTTCAACAGCACTGTGGTCTTGACCTGTTCGGCCAAAGGCTCCTTCCTCATGTACAAGTGGCTCAACGGCACCGCCCCGCTGGTCGCCGACGGGAAGCATGTGACCTTGAGTGCAAACTCCACAGTGCTGACCGTGGCTGGAGTGTTCAGGAAGGATCTGGTCGGACCCATCTACTGCACGGCCTTCAACAAACTAGAGAGCGACAACAGTGCCCCCTTCAACCTCACTGTCACCTGTAAGTACATATGTTCTTATAGCCTGGTCTGACATCTGTTTGTGATGTCTCGCCTACTCCTATGGTCATTGTTAGAAAGACAGTACAAACAGATCTGGGACCAGGCTAATATTCTTATCCATTGATTCCACTCACGTCTCTGCCAGGCTATCTGAAAGGTTCAGGTAGAGTTTAGTTTAGAGTCTTAGGAGGCTTTGTGTGACATGGGACACTCCCTGTAGGGGTTTCTACACCCAAACTCCTCTTCTGTTTATGCCATGCCTGTGGTCTGATGGTTATGCTGAAATCACACCAACATTCCTAGCTTCAGTTTGATCAACACTTAGATATGATATTGAGCAGTAGATCAATTATTTTGTGTGCTGGCTTTAGAATAAGTCATGCCAGCCATTTTCTATATTGTAACAGTGAGCGGCTGCAGCCATCCAGCTCAGGCTGGTACAATGCAGGCAACAGGAAAATGCAGTTCAGATAAGATCCACATTTCGTCATAGCCCCTCTGAATAGAACACCTGGGAAGGGATAGACCTCTCGAGGCTTGTTTTCGTTAAGATTTCAATGAACTGCTACATTTTGGTTTGCAGCCTTAGGCCTACATTAAAAACAGCTGAACCTAACTCTTTTCCAAAATATTTGCAGATGGGCCAGAAAACATCGCCATGACAGTCACCCCCACCGCTGAGGTCCAAAAGCAGGGTTCCAACATTACATTGACCTGCTCAGCCCAGTCTAGCCCTGCGGCTGTGCTTCAGTGGATCCACAATGGAGTCCCGCTCAATGTGATTGGCCCCAAGCTGGTACTGGCCAACGTTGTCGAGGCACAGAGTGGAAACTACTCCTGCATGGCCAGCAACGCCAAAACCTTGCGATACCTGGAATCCACCACATCCAAGTTCACTGTAGTAGGTGAGTAGGAGAGGAACCACAAGAGCCAATGAGAAATCAAGGTTTTATACATGGATAGGAAGGGTGCTTTAGTGAATACAAAAGGGAGTCATGTACAGTATACTGGTAGAGAGACCTAGAGGCAAATAGTGCTCTAATGGAATGCAAAATAGTGAAACTGGTTGTTGCATTCAATTAAGCTACAGGATTCTACAGAGGTTCTTGAAGTAACATGTTTTTTAGATGTTACACTCATTACATTTTTTGGGACGTATAGACTGACGTGTTCTTGTTGAACTGTTGTACTAATTGCAAGTTATTACCCTTTCTACATGTAATGGTGAATATTGCCTGGAAAAGGTTTGTTACAGCCAATTAAACACTTTTATAATATAATATAATAATAATAATAATATGCCATTTAGCAGACGCTTTTATCCAAAGCGACTTACAGTCATGCGTGCATACATTTTTTTTTGTGTGTATGGGTGGTCCCGGGGATCGAACCCACTATCTTGGCGTTACAAGCGCCGTGCTCTACCAGCTGAGCTACAGAACAGTTTTAACACAGTTTCTTTATCTGTAAGATAAAGAATTTGCCGTTAGACCTACAGCCCTGTCTCAAAGAGATTGCATCATCCTTATTAAGGTGATACCATGAACAGACAGATTGAAACCTGTTTCCTGGCTTGGCGCCCCGAAGGCATAACACCGAACACTGAATGGATTTCATATGATTTTGAAGCATGCAGTACAAGTTTCAAGCCCAGTGACCTCGTATCATGGCAACTTTGTATGTTCACTCATAGGTTTTTAAAGCTTGTGAAATATGTGCTGCATGCCATACAGTACAAAGAGTGCATGGCCCTTGTGTGTACTGAAACTGTTTACAACGGGAGACAGACAGTCTACCATTTTGTGAGTGACTAAAACCTGCTTAGTTGGGGGATGGTCTTTCAAAATGCCAGGAGTCCTTGAGTCGGGTGTTGTTTTATAGAAGAGAGCTGGGGGATGGGGTGGTGATTGTTGCCCATTTAGCAGTCCTTTCAGTTATTCTATGAATGTTCCCCTGTACTTGGTAAACAGTATTGAATTTAAGTCCAATTATTCCATCATGAATCATAGAGTTACACATTTTACTTTTAATGACTGACTAAAGCTGAGGAAATAGGAATATGCCCCCGAAAATGTTTGCCATCAAGCCTGACACGACAATAATTGGCCAAAGTATTGGTTAGGCAGTTGTGAGTCGCCATTGAGGGCCATTCACTTTGTGTTTAAAATATATTATCTTGGCATTCGTTTTCCAACACTCATTAGTCTGGAAAGGAGATATCAAGATTAACAAGACAGTGGTTTCACATGTTGTCCAAAACAAAAAGGCAAGCTTGGCCTTAGTCCCGCTTAAAAGTGGTCTAGCATGACAGTGAGCATGTTAATTGCATTTTCTATTAATGTAGGTAATTTGGTTTTGCTTGGTTGACAAGTTTTTGGTACATCGGCGCATTCAAAGACTCATTGTAAAATAATAACTTTTTATTTGATGTCACATTTTACGGAAACATGGCCTGATATAAGCTGGACAGTGATGTAGTACAGTGGGGGAAAAAAGTATTTAGTCAGCCACCAATTGTGCAAGTTCTCCCACTTAAAAAGATGAGAGAGGCCTGTAATTTTCATCATAGGTACACGTCAACTATGACAGACAAAATGAGATTTTTTTTTTTTTTGATCATTGTCATGCTGAAAGACCCAGCCACGTTTCATCTTCAATGCCCTTGCTGATGGAAGGAGGTTTTCACTCAAAATCTCACGATACATGGCCCCATTCATTCTTTCCTTTACACGGATCAGTCGTCCTGGTCCCTTTGCAGAAAAACAGCCCCAAAGCATGATGTTTCCACCCCCATGCTTCACAGTAGGTATGGTGTTCTTTGGATGCAACTCAGCATTCTTTGTCCTCCAAACACGACGAGTTGAGTTTTTACCCAAAAGTTCTATTTTGGTTTCATCTGACCATATGACATTCTCCCAATCCTCTTCTGGATCATCCAAATGCACTCTAGTAAACTTCAGACGGGCCTGGACATGTACTGGCTTAAGCAGGGGGACACGTCTGGCACTGCAGGATTTGAGTCCCTGGCGGCGTAGTGTGTTACTGATGGTAGGCTTTGTTACTTTGGTCCCAGCTCTCTGCAGGTCATTCACTAGGTCCCCCCATGTGGTTCTGGGATTTTTGCTCACCGTTCTTGTGATCATTTTGACCCCACAGGGTGAGATCTTGCGTGGAGCCCCAGATCGAGGGAGATTATCAGTGGTCTTGTATGTCTTCCATTTCCTAATAATTGCTCCCACAGTTGATTTCTTCAAACCAAGCTGCTTACCTATTGCAGATTCAGTCTTCCCAGCCTGGTGCAGGTCTACAATTTTGTTTCTGGTGTCCTTTGACAGCTCTTTGGTCTTGGCCATAGTGGAGTTTGGAGTGTGACTGTTTGAGGTTGTGGACAGGTGTCTTTTATACTGATAACAAGTTCAAACAGGTGCCATTAATACAGGTAACGAGTGGAGGACAGAGGAGCCTCTTAAAGAAGAAGTTACAGGTCTGTGAGAGCCAGAAATCTTGCTTGTTTGTAGGTGACCAAATACTTATTTTCCACCATAATTTGCAAATAAATTCATTAAAAATCCTACAATGTGATTTTCTGGATTTTTTCTCCTCAATTTGTCTGTCATAGTTGACGTGTACCTATGATGAAAATTACAGGCCTCTCTCATCTTTTTATGTGGGAGAACTTGCACAATTGGTGGCTGACTAAATACTTTTTTTCCCCACTGTAGCTATCCACTGGGCACAGACGTCAATTCAACGTCTATTCCACGTTGGTTCAACGTAATTTCATTGAAATTACGTGGAAACAACGTTGATTCAACCAGTGTGTGACCAGTGGTTAGATGTAATGTCATTAAGGTATAATGAAAGTACAATGTCTTCTAATTTAGTAGGCATCGTCCAATCCATCCAACTGAAATCGAATGAATAGTTAATTAAGCTTCATATGGTGTTTATGTTCTAAATATTTTGTGGTTATAGTACTCTGAAATCTGGTAGTTGTAAGTGAAACAAGCTGCCTTTCAGAGTGTTATCATCTGGATCTGTGTAAACCCTAACTCCATTTGTCCTCTGTGTTTGTAGAGGCCATATCCGGCACTAAGATCACAGGCCCCAATGGAACGCTTGTCGCAGGTAACAGCACGGCCAACCTGAGCTGCCAGGCAACCGCCGGCACTGCCGACACCCGAGTGTGGCTGAAGAATGGTGTGGCACTGTCTCCTAGCAACAGGGTCATGGTCTCGGCAGACAAGAGCTCGGTCACGATAAAGCCAGTGCAGAAGGAAGACAGTGGGGAGTACCAATGCAAGCTGACGAATGCTGTGAACACAGACTCTGCCAGCCTCAAGATAGTGGTCAACTGTGAGTATAGGCCTCCTGACCTCTTCACTGACCATTAGCACCAATCGCAACCCTGACCCATCAAGGTTGAACAAGTTAACGTTATATTCTACTGTTTACTTTGTTCATAATGTTACAGTATCCAAAAAGAAAAGCTTTGTATTTTACCCAAATCCATGATAAACTGCCTGTATGCTACTGTGTAGTATTATTTAGGTCAGAATGGCCAAATCCAGGTGAATTACAGGTATAAAGCTTAAAGAAAGGAAAAGCTAAAATTCTCCTTTCCATGTCACAGTTGGTCCTGAGACTGTGTCCGTGAAGGGGGAAAGTGTCGTAAAGGTGAAAGAACCTGTCACGCTGAAGTGTGCCGCAGTCTCTCTCCCTGCTGCCACCTACATCTGGAAATTCAATGGGACGCTGACCGGTGTGACGACAGCCGAGTACATAATTGAAGCCGCTGTGTACAAGGACAATGGAATTTACACCTGTGAAGCCAGCAACACCGTCACCGGGCTGAGCACTGCCGTTGCCCACAAGCTGTTCGTCAAAGGTTTGCTTGTGGAGGCTATACGAGTATTCTACCATTTGGCACCATGGTTCATAGGATGTCTTCTCACCCTAACTGTTGTAGGGATCTTCTACTTATAAAAACTGTCCACGTCAATCTCATATGAAGCTGTTGCAGTACTTTGAGATGTTCTGATGATAAATTATTGATTGTTCTTGTGCTTCCGCAGAGGAGGGAACACCGGATGATGGTCTGACAGGTGGGCAGATCGCTGGGATCGTCATCGGCGTGCTTATCGCCCTAGTGCTCATCATCGTAGTAGTCAGATACATGAGAAAGAAAAAAACACCGTGAGTTTTCTTGGTTTTACTTTTGATCCACTTATGCAATTCTATGGAAGCCGGTATGGTTCCCTTTGCAGACACAGCGGGTGTGTGTAATGATACACGATATGTCATCGTCTCTAAATGCCCTTCCTGTGAATCTCCAGTCCTCGCTTCATTTCTCTCATTCTTTGGCATCCTAGAACTTGTACGCCCGGTTGTTACCAAGTACAGTGTCTTTACTCAATTCATAGCATCCAAACTCTCTGCACTTCCAAAGCCCTGTTTCAGCAAACTCTTTGTAGCTTTTCATGTGCATCAACACAGATAAATGTACTGATTGTATTGGACATAGAGCAAAGAACACATTTTAGTTAAAGCAGACACTGGCTGACATGCCTCGTACATTCCAGCATTTGGCAATCGAAATCAATAAAAAACACCCCTTTTGAGTCATGGAAGTTCTGAACAAACCAGAAAGGGAGAAATATACCACAGGTTTCCTTGCTCATGATTTTGCATCAAAACCCTTTTTCTCATTGGAACTCCAGCTTGTTGTAGTACACGGTCATGTTTTCATTCCCCCCTAATAAGAGTGTTGTCAGGCAGAGCAGTAGTGCTGAGCGATTCGTGCTTTTTGTTCGGTTTCGGTTCAATTATTAAAAAAGAATCACTGTTTTCGATTATGTTTTTAAACATTAAATGCACTATGCATTATGTGAGTTGAATGCTGTAACAACACAGAATAAAACAATTAATAAAAGTCCCATGATGGTAGTGACTGCCCATTACTGCTTATCACTTATTAACCATCACATTACTTTACTTTAATAAAATATTTCAGTTGTTGTGTATATTACATTTGTTTTTTTGATGACTTTATTATTTCATTCCAAGTCATCATCTCATCTCTATAGAGCTACTGCCTATGCTGTCTGACAAAATCCCTATTTTAGTAGATCTTCAAAGTAAATAAGGCATACTTTTATGACTGCTGAATACAAACTATCAATCACTTAGATCATGTATTTTCAGGTACAGATACCTCGCAATGGATTATGGCCATTGTAGTTAATTACCACGTTTGCTGCCCTAAACTATGTAGAATTTTGTCCTGTTGGAAACTACAATTCCTTACTACATCGCACAGTTCGGCTTGATCTGATTGATCTCTTGAGAAACTACACAATGTGCGCATTGAGCTCACAGAAAAAAATAGAAGGAGATGGAATTTAAATAATTGAACCGATATTGGTCAATTAGTTGTTTAAAAACCGAAAAATAACCAACATTTCAGTTAATCGCTCAGCACTACAGAGCAGACAAAAAAGTAACCTGACGTGACAGAGGTCACTGGAGGTCAAGCTTACCTGGAGAGCATGGTCTACCACCACCGCTCCAAGGCTCAGAGTTTGTCTCCCTGCTCCTCATTGTCATCATCTGCCAACCTTGAAATGGATGTTTGAGGATATTGTTCCTTGACGGCGTTCGCACTCCTGGATGTCTTAGACAGGAAAATGTTTGTCTCCATTGACAAAAAATGTCAGGTTTGGATCAATGGCAGGCAATTTTTGTAAGGTTGTCAGTGGAAAAACAGGAACTACAGTGGGGGAAAAAAGTATTTAGTCAGCCACCAATTGTGCAAGTTCTCCCACTTAAAAAGATGAGAGAGGCCTGTAATTTTCATCATAGGTACACGTCAACTATGACAGACAAAATGAGGAAAAAAAATCCAGAAAATCACATTGTAGAATTTTTTATGAATTTATTTGCAAATTATGGTGGAAAATAAGTATTTGGTCAATAACAAAAGTTACTCAATACTTTGTTATATACCCTTTGTTGGCAATGACACAGGTCAAACGTTTTCTGTAAGTCTTCACAAGGTTTTCACACACTGTTGCTGGTATTTTGGCCCATTCCTCCATGCAGATCTCCTCTAGAGCAGTAATGTTTTGGGGCTGTCGCTGGGCAACACAGACTTTTATCTCCCTCCAAAGATTTTCTATGGGGTTGAGATCTGGAGACTGGCTAGGCCACTCCAGGACCTTGAAATGCTTCTTACGAAGCCACTCCTTTGTTGCCCGGGCGGTGTGTTTGGGATCATTGTCATGCTGAAAGACCCAGCCACGTTTCATCTTCAATGCCCTTGCTGATGGAAGGAGGTTTTCACTCAAAATCTCACGATACATGGCCCCATTCATTCTTTCCTTTACACGGATCAGTCGTCCTGGTCCCTTTGCAGAAAAACAGCCCCAAAGCATGATGTTTCCACCCCCATACTTCACAGTAGGTATGGTGTTATTTGGATGCAACTCAGCATTCTTTGTCCTCCAAGCACTCTAGCAATCTTCAGACGGGCCTGGACATGTACTGGCTTAAGCAGGGGGACACGTCTGGCACTGCAGGATTTGAGTCCCTGGCGGCGTAGTGTGTTACTGATGGTAGGCTTTGTTACTTTGGTCCCAGCTCTCTGCAGGTCATTCACTAGGTCCCCCCGTGTGGTTCTGGTATTTTTGCTCACCGTTCTTGTGATCATTTTGACCCCACGGGGTGAGATCTTGCGTGGAGCCCCAGATCGAGGGAGATTATCAGTGGTCTTGTATGTTTTCAATTTCCTAATAATTGCTCCCACAGTTGATTTCTTCAAACCAAGCTGCTTACCTATTGCAGATTCAGTCTTCCCAGCCTGGTGCAGGTCTACAATTTTGTTTCTGGTGTCCTTTGACAGCTCTTTGGTCTTGGCCATAGTGGAGTTTGGAGTGTGACTGTTTGAAGTTGTGAACAGGTGTCTTTTATACTGATAACAAGTTCAAACAGGTGCCATTAATACAGGTAACGAGTGGAGGACAGAGGAGCCTCTTTAAGAAGAAGTTACAGGTCTGTGAGAGCCAGAAATCTTGCTTGTTTGTAGGTGACCAAATACTTATTTTCCACCATAATTTGCAAATAAATTCATTAAAAATCCTACAATGTGATTTTCTGGAGAAAAAAAATCTCAATTTGTCTGTCATAGTTGACATGTACCTATGATGAAAATTACAGGCCTCTCTCATCTTTTAAGTGGGAGAACTTGCTCAATTGGTGGCTGACTAAATACTTTTTTCCCCCACTGTATATAAGTGAAGTTGAACTATTATATTGCTCACTTAATTTTTCACATTTACCTTGCAGATTTCCAGAGCGTGCCTGCAGATACATTCCTTGAAATAGTTGTTGTTTCATTAGTAGCATTAAGTACATCAGCTTGTGTTTGTGGCAGTAGAAAAGAAAGAATAGAGGTGTATGTAAAGGTTAAAAACAAGGAAAGGGAAATAAAGCTACATGGATTTCTGATGCAAATGTGAGCCCAACCGCCTTCATCCAGACAGGAAGATAAGCCTCCAGATAACCAACCAGCATAGCAAGCATTTCTAACCTCTTGCTCTGTTTCACCAAAAGTGCAGACTTCCTACCGGAGAACTAACAAGCTGACACAAAGCAAAAGATAAAAAAGCAAGAGATAAAAAAGTTTGCCATGTTGACAGCCAGTGAACAAGGGGAATGCAGTATGTTGTTGAAAGCAGATACCTGGTTGGTTAGGTTTAGACCACCTTGTGTGCACAACTGGGTTCACACACAGCTGCACACTTGTTTAATTGGGAGAGGAACTGGCGGGTGCAAAGACCCAAACACATACTGTTTCCTTATTAGTGTGATTTGTGACTGGCAAGTGGGTGCACAGTAGGCCCCTATGTAAGATGAGGATTAGCGATTACAGGTGCCAATAGTGTAGGTTTCTGGTAAAGGTCACTGTCTTTATAGTGAGCAGAGTTTTTTCTACCGGTAGAGGATATAGATGTCTGTCTCAGGTTTTTCAATTTGCTTAACTATGTTCTGATATACGTTACTGGACACTTTTTCAAAGTATCCAAGACTGATTTAAGCAACTAAGATATGATTCTGTTGATATTGGCTAGAGCAATACCATGACAACATGTATACAGTAGATACGTGTTATAGGTCACAGATAAACCACTTCCAAAGATGTGTGTGTGTTTATCCTGGCTCTCTCTATTCATTCTGCCCGGCCTTGTCAGCCTGGATCAACGCTGTGGGTTTCAGTATTTTGAAAACAGTCGGCCCACATTCCAACACTCTCTAGCCTCACACTCAGGAGCGGAAGATTCCATCTCAACAGTGGGGTCCGCCTCTTTTCGCTCCTCTCTGAATCCCCTTTAAGATAACAAGCTGTCGGGGCCTGGTGCCCTCGAGCAGTGGAACGGACCCTTCCAGCTGAACTTAAGCCCCTCTCCTCATTTCTGATGGACTAGAGAGGTGGACATAGATGGAGTCAGTGGAACAATGATTAGATAAGGGAAAGCTATGCTCCTCTTCATCGTCGTCAATGGGAAATTCCTCCTTCCCAGGGTAGTCACTGGGGATAGGCTGAGTTGAGAGTATGGTTGGAATGTCACCGTCGTGTCTGCACAGGTCTCTCTCTCTCTCTCTTTCAGTCCATCTCCCTCTTCTTCTCGCCTCATCTGTCTTTTGCTGTCTGTCACTCTTTCTAACATTCATACTCTACATTCCCCTCTTCCACTTGGTTCCCTCTTTATGTCATAGTGGCAGGTAAGCGAGGACAGTTTCTTCCATACGGTTTCTCCTGAGGGCCATTCCTCACGGACATATTCATATTTTGTGAAGACATGCCGTAATTCAGCCATAGTACTTGTACACGGGCACACCTGCAGGATCAAAGTGAACACTGCCAAGTACTCGTAGTTGATATTGTAGTTATTGAGTCATCCTCTTCCTGTGTTGTCTACTGTTCTTATCAATGGCTCAAAACAAGGTTAAATGTTCAGATGCTTTCTGAGATGAGATCCCAGCATTAAAAAGGTTACAGTATCTACCAACACTGCTCGTGTTCGTCAGGGCATTAGGATCTGTTCATTAACCCTTCACACTCGTGGGAATTGGCCTATATGGATAGAGTGAAATAGAAATGTTTCTTACAGAAGGAATATGAAAAGCATAACCATGGTAGCAATTAAAATGAAATAGTTTGGAGAGTATGGGAAAATTATTCAACTAAAGGTGAGGACAAGACAGTTAATCTGACACAAGATTGAATCCAAACATTACACTGTTGATTTTATGTGCGTTTTACATTAACTGTACTTTTCGCCACATTTGTTGTTAACGAAATCCAAAAATACTCTGAATACATTCAGTAACATGATAAGAATATTAGTGGGAAAAATTTGGTGTAGGTGCAACATAAGACAAAAAATGAAAATTGTTTGAGTGAAAGGTCTAACTGGTGTCTCCAAGTGGCCACACACCTCTCCAAAGTGTGCACAGTTCCTAAGTAATTTCAATGCACTTTTATGACTCAAAGAAGAGTCTTCAACGATACTGCCCTACCAATCAAAAGAGCAGTAACTGCTCATAGAGTGAAACTGAGAAGAATGACTTCAAAGTTGTTTTATTGTCCAGCCAAATTAATTGTTGGCAGATCATTGGAGATGTGGTTATCTGTTGTCTTACTATGAGGTAATTTATTATTAATATTGAACCCTGACATGACCTTTGACCCTAGACTGCAATTACTCCCTTCTTGCTTGGTACACCCACTGGAATATGTTTCCATTACGATTGTTATTTTACACAAACTTGTGTTAATATAATTATTTGTATTTATTTTGTGGCTGTCAGTGTCATATAGTTTGATACTTGTATCAGCAAAGAACAATACATAATATCAAGGTCAACCATTGACACTGCAGCCCAAAGCTCAGTGAAACAAGGTAAAAGGCAGTTACTGTAAACATGACCCCCATTTTCTCCATAACACAGCGGAGGCAGGATATGATATTTGTCCACGAGATAAAGCATGTATTTAATGTATAACAAATGTCAATAACTAATTGTTGACCAAATGTGCAGTTACTGCTCTTTTGCTTGGTAAGGCAGTATAAGGTGCTATTTTGAACACTCCTAGCTGTGCTGTTGAGGAACAAGAGTAAACAGACTTGTAGTTGTTTTGTTTGGAACACAGCCCTGCATCCCCGCCATCACACAATTACTGTTGTTGTTTACACATTCCAAAAACAGTCCATTATAAATCACAATCTGGTCAGGTGGTGTGACGAGTACTGAGTATACGAAGAGGCAGGACGCAGACGCAGGAATAAACAAGGTCAAGGTTTACTAAACAATGAGAAAGAGAATTAACAAAGATAGAGTAAACGATCACACACAACATCATCCAGAACAGTCCAGGGCGGTGATGATGAGGTGCAGGTGCGCTGGAGGTGATTAGGGTGCGTTGGGTTTCCATTCCGGTGTTGCCGAGATGGCTCAGACCGGTGGCTCAGTAACCGGCGAATCAGAGCGCCAGAGGGGAGCAACGGGAGGAGATGTGAAAGGTGGGCATCATTTGAAAGCGTGTTCTATTGCCAACATGGCTAGCTAAGTTACAAAATACAATTTTACAGTGTTAGGCTTTCACAAGAAAATTCAGAGAAGCAGTTCGTAATTTTGGTAGGCATAGAATAGAGCCACGAGTGCATTCAGATGCGTGTTCCCCGCCAAATTTCTTCAAAATACGACAAACATAGGCCCATTCTGTTCAGAACAACCCAGGGTATGACGCCATGTCATCTTGTAACTGTACATTAAGCATTGTGATCATGAACGTTGACGATGTACACTGAGTATAGAAAACATTAAGAAAGGCCTCCCGAGCGGGCAGCGGTCTAAGGCACTGAATCGCAGTGCCTGAGGCGTCACTACAGACCTGGATTCGATCCCAGGCTGTGTCACAACCATCCGTGACCAGGAGTCCCATAGGGCAGCGTACAATTGGTCCAGTGTCATCCGGGTTAGAGGAGGGTTTGGCCGGGGGGGCTTTACTTGGCTCATCGTGCTCTAGCGACTCCTTGTGGCGGGCCGGGTGAATGGGCAAGACAAAATATTTAAGTGCCTTTGAACGGGGTATGGTAGTAGGTGCCAGGCACACCGGTTTGTGTCAAGAACTGCAACGCTGCTGGGTTTTTCACGCTCAACAGTTTCCCATCTGTATTAAGAGTGGTCCACCACCCAAAGGACATCCAGCCAACTTGACAAAACTGTGGAAAGCATTGAAGTCAACATGGGTCAGCATCCCTGTAGAACTATTTGACACCTTGTAGAGTCCATGCCCTGACGAATTGAGGCTGTTCTGAGGGCTAAAGGGGGGTTGCAACTCAATATCAGGAAGGTGTTCCTAATGTTTGGTACACTCAGTGTCTATTACATGAGTTTTATGATTTGGAAATGTGAAGTATGAAAAAAAAAAAAAAAGAATGTATGTACTCACTAACTGTAAGTCGCTCTGGATAAGAGCGTCTGCTAAATGACTAAAATGTAAATGTAAAATGTAAGTGCACATTTGGACTCACAGGTGTTTGGATTGCTTGTATGACATCAAAGCGGTATTTATTATAATCCTCAACATCTCATCTTTCAAAATACATAGAGTCCTCTTTATTTAGAACATTTCCCTCACTCAGACAATAAAACATTTGAAAAAGTTGCCCAATTAGCAGGAGGGATGGGGGAAACATTTTGTCGCTCGTGGTGCTCAAGTTCAGAACCTCTGTCAGTCCAAACCAATACTGCGCAGTGAAGCGACCTTGAGCTCTGATGTCATGTACACAGTTTATTAGGTACACCACCCAGTTCACAAAAATGGTTTGCTTCTACAGACAGTGAGTCACGTGGCCGTGGCTTACTATATAAAGCAGGCAGACAGGCATCGAGGCATTCATTTACTGTTCGATAGAACGTTAGCATGGGCAAAACGAGTGACCTAAGCGACTTTGAGCGTGGTATGATCGTCAGTGCCAGGCGGACCGGATCCAGTATCTCAGAAACGGCCGCCCTCCTGGGCTTTTCACGCACGATAGTGTCTAGGGTTTACCGAGAATGGTGCGACAAACAAAAACCATCCAGTCAGCGGCAGTCCTGTGAGCGAAAACAGCTCATTGAATCATGCAAGCTAACAGGAGGGCCACAAACAAAAATAACGGTGCAGTACAACAGTAGTGTGTAGAACGGCATCTTGGAATGCACAACTCGTCGATCCTTGTCACAGATAGGCTATTGCAGCAGACGACCACTACAGGTTCCACTCCTATCAGCTAAAAACGGTTCCAGTGGGCACGTGATCACCAACATTGGACAATTGAGGAGTGGAAAAACATTGCCTGGTCCGATAAATCCCGGTTCCTGTTGCGTCATGCTGATGGCAGAGTCAGGATTTGGCGTAAGCAGCATGAGTCCATGGCCCCATCCTGCCTGGTGTCAACGGTACAGGCTGGTGGCGGTGGTGTGGGGAATGTTTTCCTGGCCCACGTTAGGTCCCTTACATTTATTTTACATTTTAGTCATTTAGCAGACGCTCTTATCCAGAGCGACTTACAGTTAGTGAGTGCATACATTTTCATACTGGCCCCCGTGGGAATCAAACCCACAACCCTGGCGTTGCAAGCGCCATGCTCTACCAACTGAGCTACACAGGGCCCTTGATACCAATTGAGCAACGTTTCCATGCCCCAAAGAATTCAGGCTGTTCTGGAGGCAAAGGGGGTTCCGACCCGGTACTAGATGGGTGTACCTAATAAACTGTCCACTGTGTGTATAGCATGTTACTGTACAGCCACTGCGTTCCAATTTAGGCGCTTATCAGTGTCCAAATCTGCCATTTTCAACCCATATACAGAGTACAAGTGTATAGAGATACCTATGGGCATTCCATCAAAGAAATTAGGAGACACAATTCCTTTGAAATGATAGCTGCCTGCTTTATATGTGTTGCTGTCATGTGGGTATATGACCTAAAATCAAGTCATTCAGGATGTCAAAGCAAAGTTATCATCCCCACAACAGTGAGGCGTCTTGTTTCCTCAAATCCCTTCAAGGTGAGGTCATCATTCCACTAATCGCCACCATTTTCTTTACGTTCTGTTTCAGGATCGAGTCACCATACTAGAAGAGTGCCCCGAGGAAAGCTGGTAAGCCGCTATTTGATAATTCCATATTATCCTCAAGCTGTTTGCGTTCCCTTGTCAGGCGACGCAAGCTAGCATTATCCTCTTTTGTAACAGCAATTATCAAGGCTGTCTCCAGAGCCTGGGACAAACATATCCTTGTTGATGACATTCTTATTGCATTGCGTTTGAGGTTATAGCTACCATTCTATGGTGCCACTCCCTATCACACAAGTCTGACCTGAAAGGCCTCTGCCTTTTCAGATAAGAATGTTGACTTTATACGTAGGGAGTGAGTACCAAGCCTGGCACCAAGTCCGAGTCTGGCATAGCTACAGTAAATCTGTGTGTCCGTCTTTTGTCTGAATGAAGTAAGGTCCTCATTTGTGCTATTAGCATTTTGGGAGTTGAAATAGAACAAAAGCCAGTAGATACTGTATAGTCTAACTATTGCCAATGTTCACCTAAAAGGTGAAAAACGTTCAGATGAGGGATGATGAAAAAAAGTAATTTAACTTCAGAAGTTATTTGTTATTACAGTGTTCTTAGTGGGAAACTATAAGTCATGTGACCCCTTTCTTCTTCCCCACAGGAGCCATCAGCCCAAATAATCAGCCAATTATTCCCCTCAAGACCCATTTACATTTGAGTCATTTAGCAGACGCTCTTATCCAGAGCGACTTGCCGTTAGTGAGTGCATACATTTTCATACTGGCCCCCGTGGAAATCGAACCCACAAGCCTGGCGTTGCAAACGCCATGCTCTACCAACTGAGCTACACAGGACCTCCATCTCTGCAGTCGGGAAGACCAATCAGGTGGAAACCTCCCCCAGGTCGGTCCAGCCATACAAACTTTTCATCACAAAGCCCACATAACCACAGGGGTCACAACATCCCTCCCTAACTCTCACACATCAGAGGAGCTGGTCATCTCCTTTGAAAATGGTGGTGTGTCTGGGACTCTGGGTCCTTGTGCTTGGATTGGACACATCTATCCCATCTAACATCTATCTGTCTGTATGGACTTATTTTCCTTCACACACCTTCCCTCCTCTCCATCCAGGCCACTGGCTAAGGTAAACAGCTTCTAACACTCCCTGGGATGCTGACTCTTCCTCCTTCGCAAAACAGAGGAATGTCATCACTTACATCAATTTCTCCACATATTCCTTAAGAAATGAAACACATAGACTTGAGCGATGGTGATGCCCTGTCCGTCACGAGTTATCCTTTCAGCTTTGAGAAACTGGAGGAGGATTTAGTGGTGCAATACATTGGAGTCCCACAGGGAATGTAGAGGATTGTAGGGCTTAGTCACTTGGTCACTCCTCACTGATCACAACATCAAGGCGAATGGGCAAATATCGTCTTCAACTTTCAAACACCTGATGGACACAGGTTCGTAAATCTGACGTTACCACAGCCGGGTCTCTGCTTGATCCCAAGGATAGCTCTTTTTATTTGTATTTTTTTGTTTACCTCTGCAAGATCTGCTTGTAAGAGCTTCATGTCAAAACACCAACGACAAGATCCAACACGCAGCAAATGTTAGGGGGAGAAAAAAAATGTATAAATATTTTTGTGGGCAAAGACATTCTTTGGTTTTGGAGGGAAAATGTGTGTGAGTCAGGGTTGTACTACTGAGTTTCGTTATTTGCTGTATTCCACTTTTCAAATGGATCTATCGTTGAAATTTGAATATTGTTTGTATTATTTTGGCTTTTGTAGTATAAACCAAAAAAATACAAAAAGTATGTTTTTAGGACCATAAATTTACAAGTGCCATTTTATGTTAACTGTAACACAACCCCTTTTTACCTGGTTCTTAGCTTTGTGAGAATTTACGTCCTTGTTTTTAGTCAGTAGTATTTATGTTTTTGAAACCTCAGATGAATACATTGAGCTGATGATGTGATAATGAGTAGTTTGCTGTCAAACAATGAGTTGTTTGACAGCACACACAGGTTAAATTAGAACACACAGTACTATGGGTTGAGTTCTTTATCTGTTGAGTTTTCTCCCGCACTTTAATGTCGATGGGGGGTTTTGCGTGGCATGAACAGTACAGGGCAGTTACTCTTGTAGGCCTGGTAATGTTAATGCCACTTGGCCGTGGAAGGGGTTTACTCTTGTGGTTTGACCTACTCTGTTAAACCATGCAATTCTATACAGCATTGGTCTATTCAAACAGAAAGACAGACACATAAAGACAGATACACAGACAACAGAACTTGAACACAGTAACCAAATAGATACATCGGTCAAAATTGGTCTAACCACTGCATTTTATATTGTCATATGGCTCATTAGTTGTCAAAGAGATCTAAATAAGAAACTTGATTCACTGAGGATGAATGACATTGTCGCGTTTTTGTCTAGTTGGTCTAATTCTTGAAGATGAAATTAACAACTTTACCTGAACTGTTTTTTACTGTATCTGAGCATTTTTATTAAAGGGATAGACCAGCTCAAATGAAAAATGGCACATCAATAAACTGCTCCCTTTGTAAATATGATTTACTTGATGTAAATGTGAACTGTAATGAACATTTTTAGGCTCGACATTCTGTCATCTATTTGGGGTTTCTTGCTCAATCTTAATTTGAATATTTCAAATGTCATAAACTTTCTCAGGTTGTTTACAAAAAGGCGTATTATTCTTTAACTACTGAACTGCCTATATTCATTAATCATTTTCTCTTTGTATAGACACACCTCTGATGTTTGTTTTATTTATTATTCTGTTGCTACTGCCATTTGCTTTTGTTACAGTCTGGTTTATTTTCAAATTGAACTTGACTTCCTGTGTCTAGCTAGCCAACCCCAGTCTCTGTATTTCACTGTTCTCTCGCTCTCTCTCTCTCTCTCTCTCTCTCTCTCTCTCCCTCCACGCTCCCTCTCTCCCTCTCTCTCTCTCTCTCTCTCTCGCTCTATCTCCCCGCTCTCCCCCCTCTCTCTCTCTCCTATTTGTTCCTGGGATTTGGAATGACAGAACATAAAGGCAGACCAACGGTTCATTTTTTAAATCCTATGTGTTGACTCTTTACTGGTGAGAGGATTTCTGTCTTGCTGCAGTTGGTGTGTGTGTGTGTGTTTGTGTGTGTGTGTGTGTGTGTGTGTGTGTGTGTGTGTGTGTGTGTGTGTGTGTGTGTGTGTGTGTGTGTGTGTGTGTGTGTGTGTGTGTGTGTGTGTGTGTATGCAATAGTGTTCTCCTCTCCTGCCCCACCAGTCTCCCTGTTTCTTCACAGGTATACCTCAGAAAGAAAGAAAGAAAGAGAAAGAAAGAATGTAAAGACCGGCTTAAACAACACAGAGACAAAGAAACCCTGCGGTGGCAGGTTGTGTGCTCAGGGTGGGAAACCGACACCCTGAGCACAGGGGTGGGTTATTTAAAGCATCCATATTTTATCCGAACCATAATGGACTGGATTTGAAACCACACATTTACATTTGAACTGGATTTGATCCTCTTGTAAACACATTCATATAAAATGAGCTAACCTGTCTAAATAAGGTAGTCTACTGTTGAGTACAATTAGAAGGAGAATACGAATGCGCGGGTGAACAAACACTACAAGGTGCAGGAGGTGCTTGGTAGTGACCAGGCTATCAAGTTCATTTTCCTTGAGTCAACAATGGCTTTTTTTTTTTTTTTTTACTGTTGGTCTGGTTGGGTGTTAAAACAATGGTACAATTGTGTAACACTGTACTTGAATTTAAAAGAAAACTCAATAAAATGTACGTGTACAAAAATATCCCTGGATCCCTTTTATGTCTTATAAGATTTCAACACATCTAGGATCTCAAGCTTTTTGTTGTCAGTGTTTTAGGTTTCTTGGGTCACAAGTGTTTTGCTTGTCAAACAACAGTGTGTAGTAAGGCATGAAATCATCTTCTGAATGTAGAATGTTTTTGAGCAATTATCTTGAAAATTAAAGTCAAGAGGAGTTTGTATAATTTTTTAATAACTTAATTGTAACATGTAACATTGAGTTTTGGTTGAAATGTACTTTCAATAACACTGTCACTGTCAGGAAGGTGTGCCTGCATAGGACATATTAGCTCATAAATAAGTATTCTTGGCAGATCGAGTGAGTGTGTGTCTCACCTGTGAACAGTGTAGGCTAAAGAATAGGCCACAGTCACAAATGAGGACTTTCAGGTTTAGCTCATTATGCAATTGGGACAGAGAGCTCTTGTCTGAGGCAGCCTTGAGAAAGAAAATGGGAGGTTTCGGTACTGTGACTGTAACTCACCAACCTGACTTTCTGCAGATCAGGGCTGTCATTACCCTACCCTGTAATCATGCTCAGACCGGCCAACGTGTGTCTCAGTTGTTTTTGCAGTAGGCACATTAAAATGGCAGTAACCTGAGTCCACATGTATGCAACTTCACATTGTTCCTTGTGAAAATGTTCTCCTTTTTTCTTTTTACAAAGTAGCTTTCAGGTTTGCTTGTTTGTGTGCTTGTTTTCATTGACCAAAGAATTGAGAAAAAGTGAGGAAATCAGTTTTGAACTAAATGTAATGTTATATGTGGAAATAACTTGTGTGGTCAATGATATTTTGTGATGGAATATGTGAGTCATCATGACCTTTAGCATGAGAGCATCAGCTGTTCCGGATGACTATGTGATCACGCTCTCCATAGCTGATGTGAGTAAGACATTCACAAGGCTGTAGGGCCAGACGGATTACCAGGACGCGTACTCCGAGCATGTGCTGACCAACTGGCAAGTGTCTTCATTGACATTTTCAACATGTCCCTGACTGAGTCTGTAATACCAACATGTTTCAAGCAGACCACCATAGTCCCTGTGCCCAAGAACACTAAGATAATCTGCCTAAATGACTACTGACCCGTAGCACTCACGTCTGTAGCCATGAAGTGCTTTGAAAGGCTGGTCATGGCTCACATCAACACCATTATCCCAGAAACCCTAGACCCACTCCAATTTGCATACCGCCCCAACAGATCCACAGATGATGCAATCTCTATTACACTCCACACTGCCCTTTCCCACCTGGACAAGAGGAACACCTACATGAGAATGCTATTCATTGACTACAG